CACACTCAGACGCTGCTCAAGACAGCTTTAATTTAGATAAGTGACAAATCAGGAAATCAGCATATCTGTCGAGCATTTCTAGACGATGGATCAGAGTCAAGTTTCATAACAGAAGATTGTGTAGCTGCCCTTGGTCTAAAGAGAGAAAAGGTTCATGTTAATCTGACTGGTTTACTCGCGTCATCACTCGGGTCTGCAAAGTCGAAGGTTATCTTTCTGCTCGGCTCTGCTAAAACAAGCACCGGTATTTCACTCAACAATGCTCTCATGGTAGGCCCAACAATCCAGGATGACATTTTTACACTACTTCTTCGATTTCGCACTCATCCCATCGCCATGAAGGCAGACATCACCAAGATGTATCGGCAGTTCAGGATCAACGATGACGATGTAAACTACCAACGAATTCTTTGGCGTGAGAACAAAAACCATCCGATTGAAGAGTTCAACTTGAACACAGTTACGTATGGAACATCATCCGCACCCTTTTCAGCAACACGATGTGTGAAACAAGTGGCGTTAGATGAAATGAAGTCAGAACCTGTATCATGCAACATTTTACTTCGTGACATGTAGGTCGACGACTTGGTTTCGGGAACCACCACCGTTAAAGAGGCCATAAACATGTACAATTCCATCAGTAGCATTTTAGCAAGCGCAGGAATGGAAATACGGAAGTGGATGACCAGCAATCCTGACGTCTTAGCAGTCATTCCAGCAGACCACAGAGAAAGCAAGGAGTGCGTCGAATTCAGCAGCAATCCAATTATTGCAGCCTTAGGTGTGAAATGGAGCCCATCATCAGACTGTTTCAGCTTCACGGTGCCAGCCACTACAAAGGTGGAGAAAATTACAAAGCGGGCGCTATTGTCACAATTAGCCAAGGTATTCGACCCATTGGGATTTATCTCTCCGGTGACAATCAAGGCCAAGTTAATATTTCAAGACTTGTGGAAAGATGGAATTGCCTGGGACGATGAACTCAGTCAAAACCTCTCATTGAAATGGATTTCATATCAAGAATCCCTTCAGCAAATCAAAACAATTGCAATTCCGAGATTCATGTCAATGCAGAATCCCATTCGGCAAGAATTACATGGATTTGCAGATGCGTCGGAGAAAGCATACGGAGCAGCAGTGTATCTCAAGTCCATCTCAGCAGCTGGAATCATCAAGGTCAGTTTAATTACTTCAAAAACTCGCGTAGCTCCAGTCAAGCAACAATGATTACCTCGACTAGAACTCTGTAGCGCCGTATTATTGACAGACCTAATGGAAATGGTGAAAACTTCTTGCAAAATTCAACATCCTGTTACAATGTGGACGGACTCAACACTTGTACTAAGGTGGATTGCATCATTTCCCGGAAGATGGAAAACTTTCGTCGCAAACAGAGTAGCGAAAATCCAGGAAAACTTCCCTTCATCATTTTGGCGACACGTTAAAGGTGAAGATAATCCAGCCGACTGCGCATCCCGTGGAATTTTCGCAGCCGAGTTGAACAATCATCCCATTTGGTGGACAGGTCCTAGCTGGTTAAATCAGCCTGAATTAGCTCAAGCGGAAGTTATTCAGGGGGAGGAGGAACCAGACCATGAAGAGAAGAAACAAATCCAAGTTCATCATGTGGCCACAGATCAGTCATTGATTGAGAAATCATCCAGTCTCTCTCACCTTCTTCGAGTTTGTGCATACGTAAGAAGATTTATAAAAAATACCCAACATCCAACCAACAGAGACACTGGTCCAATCAGTCCAACCGAGCCAAAAAATAGCCTGACTCAACTAATACGAACAGTGCAACAAGACTAACTTGCGGCGGAAATTGCTGATTTGCAAAACACGAAGCATTCACCAACTCAATCCGTTTCTCGATGGAGTAGGAACTCTCAGGATGGGCGGAAGACTATCAAGGTCACCACTACAAGAGGAGGCGAAACACCAATTCTACCACATGATCATCACTTAACAACACTTATCGTTCGAGATTGTCACTTAAAGAATCTTCACAATGGATTTCAAGCAACGTGGTCAACTCTGCTACAACAAGTGTGGATTCTGAGAGGAAGAAATACAATTCGGCAAATTATTCGTAAATGCGTAATCTGCAGGAGACATCGAGCCCAATTGTCACAACAATTAATGGGAAATCTCCCTGTTGCTCGTGTCACTCCAAACCCCCCATTTCTGCACACCGGTGTGGACTACGCAGGCCCGTTCTCAATTCTTAAGGCGAAGGGAAGAGGCCAAAAATCAATAAAGTCATATTTCGCAATCTTCGTATGTTTTAGCACAAAGGCAGTGCATTTGGAGGCAGTGACTGATCTCACTACAGAAGCATTCATCGCGTGTCTCCTACGTTTCTCATCAAGACGAGGCGTACCAGCTCATATGTATTCAGATTGTGGTACGAATTTCCAAGGAGCAGATAAGGAGTTAAATGGATTTTATCTTGCCGAGTTCAATAAAAAAGTAGCAGAAGGAGCAGCAGCTCAAGGTATTTCGTGGCACATGAACTCCCCATCATCACCCCATCACGGTGGCTTGTGGGAGGCAGGCGTCAAGGCGGTCAAGTACCACACAAGTCGCGTAATTGGCAACGCACATCTAACTCTTGAAGAATTTTCAACTTTATTATGTCAAGTGGAATCCATCCTAAATTCCCGTCCTCTCTGTGCAATGTCACCAGATCCAGGAGACTTGCAAGTCTTAACCCCGGGTCATTTCCTCATCGGACGACCACTTAATTCCATTGCAGACCCAGGCGTCACTCAAATCAACATCAGCAGATTATCAAGGTGGCAACATGTTCAGCACATGACCCAGCATTTTTGGAAAAGATGGCAAAATGAATATCTCCAGACTCTACAACAAAGATTTAAGTGGGCGCAAAAACGAAACAATTTGCAAATAGATGACCTTGTTCTTGTTCATGACGACGATCTTCCCCCAGCCAAGTGGAGACTAGCTCGAGTCACCGATGTCCATCCAGGCGCAGACGGCTTAGTCAGAGTCGTCACCGTAAAGACATCAAAAACCGAATTGAAACGCCCTGTTGTTAAACTAAGTCCAATTTTACCATGCAATGACAATTCATCCTTTTAATTTCATTTAACTGAGTTTCTTATTTTCTAGTTACAAGACGACTCCAACGCCGAACCTGCACGTTTGATTTCGATGTTCCATATTCCGGCGTGGGACTAAACTCCTAGACAGTTCGGTTATGCAAGAACATTCGAATCGGACTGCAGTGAGGTTGAGGTGTCAAGCTTGTCACTACGTCATTACTGTAGTATTTTTTTATACAATTATCACGCAATCAATTTTCAATTTTTTGTTCAATTCTATTTTACGGTTTCATTTTTTGTAACGAGATATTACAAGGTGGGCGGTGTTAGTAACGATTAACCATGAGTATGTAAAGCGTGTATGTATTTATGTCATGATTTTCATATGCCATGTTTGCTCCCTTCCTTGTACAAATCTGTAATTTGAGAAGACAGAGCTCTCCCGCGGAGAGTCATGATTTAGCTTCCGACCAGTCAACAATATTCTCTCAATTGGCTATTCTTTCATGTGATCAGAAATAATTCTAATGTAAAACTTAAACCCCATTTGACCAAGTAAACACATCAATTTTAAATTAGTAACTCCAGTTTGTTCCCTGCCTATTCATTTGATAAGTCTACCATACCATTCACACATAAGTTATCATTCCATCCTCAAAACACCAACACATTTATCATTTCTCATTCTATTTAATGCAACTGTCTCCATTGTTTACATGAAAATCAGCTGCTCTCTTCGCCCCGCCCCCCCTCATTAGAAAAAAGTCGCTCGGCACACAAGGAGACGCAACCGTCGTCTCTGTATTTTAGTTATGAGATTTTTTCAACGTATACGCCGTCTTAATAATTTTTGAAAGGTATGGAGTATGGATGCGAGAAACCATGAAATCATGAACAAATCACAGACTATAGATACAGCTAAAGGGGTCCCATGGATGACGCGTTGGCGCGTAATCTCACTTTGCCCCTATCCACTGTATTCAAATGCAATTTCTAAAATCGAATCCACTCTATGAGTTTTGAGATAAATGCAACTTATGATAGTTTAATGTACATGTACATTTACAAATATACATGTATTTACCTAATTACGGATTTTTCACAGAACTTTCCCAATTGCTAATGGCACATACGAGAGGGCATATGATATTCAACCATGTTGTTTTGTTATTGATTGACTATGGCCTGTTTAACCCCACATAATATTTGTACTGTACTGTTTACTTTGTAAAGTTGGACATATATATATAGTAGTTGTGTGTATGATTTATGTAAAAGTTTGATGATGTTGCTCCTCTGAAAAAATCTGATTAGATCATAATATTTTGAACTTGAAAGTGATGTGAGATATTAAATGAATTGCATCATGAATGAACTGTGGACCCTGGAGATTAAGCCACGTATGTGTTGGATAGTCTGTAGAAAGCAAAATTTAATAACGATTATTGTGATTGAAGAGTGATTCAGTCAATGCACAGTCATGAACGAATATTTCAATTAAAATTTACGAAGTTTTCGGAAAACTGACTCATCTCCTTCGTTCTTGGTTCTCTTATTGTTGCTGGTTTATTGTCAGCAACAAATCAAGGAAAATGATCACAGAATTTATTCTGATCATTATTGCGCTGGGTGCACTTTATTCCTGGTGGAATTCTCGGTCATCAAAAAAACTTCCTCCAGGTGATTGACGAGTGACGGTCGAAAGACGGCTAAATCTACCCGATCTAGACTCTGACTCGTTATTTCAGAAAACTTGTCTCAAGGAAAAGTCAGATACGTTCCCAGAACTATTTATTGACCACGCAAAATATATCAATATCACAAAGTCTGATATTTCTGACAATCTCTCACAATTTCACAATTATCAAAAACGGTATCGAGTTATTTCTAGTCTATCATTTTTACATGTAACGCCATAGAAATGTCTGCCAATTATTTTGCAATTAAAATTATCTGTGTACATTTACGTCATAATTTAACACTCCCACCTTTTCATTTACACTGATTAAATGAAAATCACGATACTAAATGTATGTACACAATAATGATGACTTTGTTGATTCTGATGAAACCTCCATGGGGTATAGACGTTGAACAGGTCTTAACAATTCACCATACGACGTCTTCACTCTTGCAGTCCGTGAATATCCATCTCTTCCAGGGATGAGGTCCACCACCTTTGCCATAGGCCAATCTTGACGCTTGACGCCATCTGATCCTACCAAAACAATGTCTCCAATTTTCAAATCCGATGTCTTCTCGGATCCTCGCTGGACTAAGAGTGCCAAATACTCTTTTCTGAATCGTGACCGCAGTTCTTCTCGTATTTTTCTTAGAAACTTCAATCTCTTGTTCAGTCCCTCCATGCTGACTTGTTCCATCTCTGGTGAAACACTATTCTTGTTCTCGAGTAAAAACATTGCAGGGGTCAATGTTTTGAGATCTTGTGGGTCCTCGGTCACTACTGTAAGAGGACGATTGTTGAGTACATTCTCTACTTGTATGATGCAGGTCATCAGTTCTTCATAGTTCACTCGTGCTTGTCCCAACATCCTTTTCAAGATTTCTTTCATCAATCCAATCAACTTCTCCCACCAGCCTCCCCACCAAGCAGCTGTCGGAGGATTGAATTTCCATACGATTCGTCTTTCTCGAACTTTTTCTTCTATTTCATCCCAATTGATGGATGAAAACAGGTTGACGGCGCCCACGAAATTGCGCCCATTATCACTGTACACGACCGCAGGAGTTCCTCTTCGGTGAATAAAACGATGAAATGCCATGAGGAAAGCCTCGGTACTCAAAGATTTCACCAGCTCCAGATGCACGCAACGATATACAGCACAAGTGAAGAGTACGGTCCATATTTTCGTTCCTCCTTTGAGAAATAGTGGTCCTGCCAAGTCTACTCCAACAATTTCAAACGCCACAGATGTCCGAACTCGGTCTTCTGGCAGCGGGGCTTCAGGAGTTTTTACATGTTGTGCACTAAATCTTCTGCACCTTACACAACTGGTAATCACTTGACGAACAGCTTTCCGTCCTCGAATGATCCAATATTTTTCGCGAAGTTGACCCATGACATATTGAGTTCCTCCGTGTCCACTCTTCAAATGAATGTAGCGAATCAGAAGACGAACGAATGGGTGTTTTTCCGGCAATAATATTGGTGTCTTGAAATTGACCATGTCTGTTCTCATGAGTAATTTAGTTTGAACTCTAGCAATTCCGTCAGCATCATCCCAAACGACACGAAGATTCGCGATTACTTTTTCGCCACGTTTGAAACTCTCACCCTGCACCAGACTTAACAATTTCTTTTCTGAATGTTCCAATTCAGCTACAGTAAGTGATCCATTTGAATTACTTCGTTTCCTCGTCTTCTCCACAAATCTCAAGATCCACGCCACGAGGTTGACAATTTTGTTGAATGACGAAAATTTCTTGCAATACCACGGGACATCTGCACATGAAGTCAACAGGTTTACGGTCACGCTCTTCAGCTTCTCGGACATGACCTCTTCTTCATTGGTGATAAATTTTTCAACTGGCCAAGATTTTTCATCCAGTTTCAACCAGTGTGGACCCTCCCACCATCGCGAATCTCGTAACTGGGCAGGGCTGCATCCACGAGAAGGTAGATCGGCTGGGTTGAGTGTCCCCGGGATGTGACGCCACTCTTCTTCCTTGCTCAGGGTCAAGATCTCGCGTACACGATTTCCCACAAACTTCCCCCATGTCATCTCCCCTTATCCATGCTAGTGCTGTAGATGAATCCGACCAAAAGAAAGTTTTCCCTTCCTCCATTGACAAGACTTTCTTCACCAACGTTGTCAATCTTGCTCCAATAGTACACGCTAGGAGTTCCAACCTCGGAATGGATACTTGTTTAATGGGGGCAACTCTTGACCGTGCTTGAAGAAGATGAAGGTCGACTTCTCCATCATTTTCCACTCTTAAAAATACAGCAGCAGCATACGCCGACTTGCTGGCATCCACAAACGTATGCATTTGCATATTTCCTCCTCCGTCTCCAAAAGCGTTTCTTTTTATCCATATTTCTTGAAATGATGGCACCTCACGTATCCACATAGTAAATTTGGCAATTAGATTTTCATCCAAATTTTGATCCCAAGAAATCTTATTCTTCCACGCTTCCTGAAGAATAATCTTGGGGACGATGAGAGCAGGACACAGATATCCTAATGGGTAGAAAAATTTCTGTGCACACGACAGGACTTCTCTCTTCGTATATTGTTGTTGTAGTGCACAATCTTCAACTTGATATCCTAAAGTGTCATCCGCCTTGTTCCACTTCATCCCCAATACTGAAGTGATAGAATTGTCCTGATGACTCCACTCCCACATACGTAAATCCATCTTGGCGTCTTCCATAATTTTTGTAGCAACAGATTTAAAGTGCTTCAACTCACTCTTGGAAGAATCGGTACTGACACAGTTGTCCACGTACAGGGATTTCCACAATTGTTCAGCCACGTCTTTCTCCACTGTGTTGACGGATTTCAAGTGATGTTCGATCACTGCTCCCAGAAGGTACGGACTGCAGTTTACTCCAAAAACGACACAAAGATGACGAAATATTCTCAATTTCTTTTTACTCCAGTCCTCCCACCATAGAAAACGAAGATAGTTTGTATCTTCCGGTGTCACTTTGATCTGCAGAAATGCTTTTCGGATGTCCGACGTCACACCAATTTGTCCACGTCGAAACCGTAACAGCACGTCCGGAATTTGCTCCAATAAATTCGGACCTTTTTCCAAACTCTCGTTGAGGGATGGAGTACGTTTGGTCTTGCAACTCGCATCAAATACGGGGCGGATTGGTGTTGTAATGCTGTCCGGTTTAATTACTGCACGGTGTGGTAAGTAGTGGGAGAATACTTCATCATCATCAGCAATTTCTTCAATAATACCTTCTTTCCGCCACGACTCGAACACCTCGTCATACTTGTCGTAATATCCAGAACGGATAATCTTCTCGGTCGCAGAGACAAGTCTTCTTTCTGCAATATTTTTATTGCACGGAATGTTTGGTCGTCCATCCATCCACGGAAGAGATACACGGTAACGCCCGTCTCCTTCACGACAAACTGACTGCAAAAAATGCTCCTTCACTTCCTTGTCTTGATTTTCCTTATTAAGATGTTCAGCGGGGTCCGTAATTCCGATTACGTCAAGATCCCACAGCTTAGACTCGTCCATCGATGCCAAAAATAGTGAGGTAACTGTCATACCAATGTCATCTTTTGGTACTTTTCCTCCTAATGACCATCCAAATGTAGAAATTGGTCCGCTCTTCAACTGCACCACTCTGCCGGTCATCAATTTTCCATAATAATCACTTCCTATCAGGATCTCAATTTCTGGACTTTCGGAAGTGAAGTCGGTCAAATGCACGCCTTGATTTGCTAACTCTTTGATCCATGGTCCACTCGAAACACGTGCGATGAGACCGCATATGTCATCACGATCCAACACCTCCAGCGACTCTCGATGATGACCACTTAAACTTTCTATCTGAATGCGGTACTTATTGTGTTTAATTGGTCCTGTCACCATTCCCCCAAATAAGCAATTGTTGACCCATTCTTCTCCAATCTTGTTTACTCCTAATCTCTGCATGGTGTCACGCCGCACAAAACTTTGTTGATTTCTACTGTCGTAAATAAGCCGGACAACTCTTCCCTTCCAAATGACTCGAACAAGCTCTGTTTGTAGCAGTACATCATTACGACACAGTTGATTTGACATCGCAGCTTGTGGTGGTACTACTTCCGGTCTTGTTCTTGGGATTGATAGTCCAGGACACATCACTGTTGGGTGTTTCTCTTGTCAGACTTGACATCTCATTGGATTTCGACATTTATTTGCATTATGTCCGACCTTCAAGCATGAAAAACAGCATCTCATCTCATGTAACTTTTGCTTCTTGACATCGTACGACAACGTCTTCGCTCGGAAACAGTCTTGAGTGGGATGGGGCTTTTTGCAAAATGCACATTCTGTCTTTTGTCCAGAAAATAGACCTGCTGAAGTTGCGCAATTGTCACCACCACCGTCTTCTTTTGATCGGACCTTCTTGTCTTTCGTCATGCCAAATCCGGAACGTGCTAACGAAATCCTCTCCTCATTTCGCACTTCCTGTCGTAGGAACTCCATGAGAGATGTGAGTGAAGTGGTTCCAGCATCAGCTCTGCTCGGAATTTCGGTTCTCTGCCATACACGTAGTAATTCTTCGGGTAGACTCGACTCCACAATTGGAAACAGCATGGCAGCACACTTGTCGGTGGTCACTCCAAGTGAATCCAAAGCTCGAAGATGTGATTCCAACTTGTCGTACATCTTCATGATGTCACACTTGTCCTTACTGCAGACATTAGAGATCACCATCTTCAGTAGTTCTCGTACATACACCTCCACCAGTAGATGATCCCGTCCGAATCTCTCTTTCAATGCTTGCACCGCTTTGTGGTAATTGGCAGCAGTCATTGGATGACTGTCAATCAGCTCCTTAGCTCTGGATCCCACCATCATGCTCTGGGCGAGGTATTGAAACTTGTCCGAAGTCTCCAAATCCTCATCAAGGTGGATCTTCTCAAATTGTGACCACCAAGACAACCACTCAGTGAGATCACCTCCAAATATCTTCAGCTCCAGCTTCGGCAGCCGATACGTCTTACGCCGATACGCCGATACGTGGATGTAGACTCCAGACTCCGAACATTGGCTGAAGAAGGGCTGGCTGACCGGTCTTTCTTCGATAGAGATCTACGTAATGCGTACCTCATAGTCACCAGCTTCTTATTGTATTCCTCACATGCTAATGTCTCTTCGTCCAACTCTTCTTCTGTCGCATTTGATTCTAATAATGCATCCATAGTCACATTGTCAAAATGCGTCATCTTTTCAGCATAACCTTCCAGACGGTTGAATTGGACCTCAAGGACCTCTTCATCAGGGTCTTCCTTGGCCAACTCCTCCTTCATTTCATTCACTAACGTCGTGAATACGCGTCGCAATGGTCCTCTTGCTCTTCTGGGACGATCCATGGCTCCTTTCTTGACAACCGCACGGAAAATATCACGTCGAGGTCACCAAATTTCGAAAGACGGCTAAATCTACCCGATCTAGACTCTGACTCATTATTTCAGAAAACTTGTCTCAAGGAAAAGTCAGATACGTTCCCAGAACTATTTATTGACCACGAAAAATATATCAATATCACAAAGTCTGATATTTCTGACAATCTCTCACAATTTCACAATTATCAAAAACGGTATCGAGTTATTTCTAGTCAATCATTTTTACATGTAACGCCATAGAAATGTCTGCCAATTATTTTGCAATTAAAATTATAAATAAATAAAGTTACCCAGCCAGGAAACGTCGATGACATCAAGTTTCAAGACGAATAAGTTGGAATTTTCTGGCAAGGAGTGACGTAACCTGATATTTGTACGAGGTGTCTATTCCAGTGTATAATTTGGACGAAAAAAGGCTATATATATACAAATATCCGTCAAATATATGTTAGACGGAGTTCCGAGCCTTTCAAAACATTGAGCCTACTGACTAACATATTTTATCCAAGACATATTTTAAGACGACATGAGTAGTGACGAGTAGTGACGACGAGGACGAAGATTCTTTTTCAACTTATACAAATCAATTTTATGCTTCATTGGCGTCATCATCACAGTCGCCAGTATTGTTGGATACAAGTCGTCAGACCACGATGCCGCTCTTCAAGTCACTAGATATATGGAAATATGTAAACTTGACGCTACTTCCTCCCCTCCCGCCATCATCGTCATCGCCCCCGCTGCCGCTGTCATCGTCCCCGCTGCCGCCGTCATCGTCCCCGCTGCCGCCGTCATCGTCCCCGCTGCCGCCGCCATCATCATCCTCACCACGACCACATCCAGGACCAAGAAAGAAGAGGAATAAGCAAAAGAAGAGGACAGGACCAAGAAAATGTCCTCCTCCCACATCCTCCCGACCGCTCCCCCATACAACCGAGGGTTTAAATCCCGTTTCCGATGACCTTTTCTGTCCGGTGTCGGGCTGCCCAGGACCATCATCTTCAGCAACAGATGAGTGGATAGAATGTTCTGTATGTCTTTTGTGGTATCACACCTCTTGTCTTCTTTTGCAGGCCATTCCTGAAGATGACTGGTTCTGCGCAAACTGTCCCCAAATACATACACAAATAGGCAACCAAGTAAACTAATCCACGTGCATCACAACCAATTTCTACATTAAGTACACCACTTTCAAATTTTATATCTAGCAAGGCAACATGTACATCTCTCACATTAGAGTGGCTAAATAACAATATAGTCCCAGGAGGTATAATTGAGAAAAATCTGTTACATGAAGCGTATAGACAGGACTCGTTAGGCATTTTCAAACCCTTAAACGATGCAGAAATTGGGAAATTGATAAAAAATTCATTTTCAAGACCAAAAGACTTAGGACAGAATTTCATGGCGCTTCGAAATATCATTACGTAGGGATCCAGTTAAAATCAGAACAAGTTCCAGAAACTGTTTTTGATTTCAAATCTATTATTTCCTCTCTTAGGCAAAATTGTCCAACTCTCAAACAATGCCCCAAGGCCTGTAGAATTCCGGTAGCACAATCAATCAAGTCAGCCATAGATAAATGTATAACTGAAAACACACCAGAGGCATGGCACCTTCTTTTGACTTTTCCATATGTAACATTACATATGGAAAAGTCAAACAATGTGATTCAAGGGCAAATATAAAGAATGGTCAAAGTCTTAACAACAAAATTAGAAATAATTTATCTATTTTTGAATCCTTAGATAAAAATACTTATCAGGACTATCTCATTTCACTTTCATCCAAAAATTCAGTCTTTGATAAGTCAGGTAGCAAAATCAACGACATAGGGCCAAAAGTCATATCTAAAGTTTCCGAAGGAAATATTCGTGGCGCGGTACGGCTTTTAACATCAGATGATGTTGTGGCTCCCAATTCTTCAGCGACTTTGGACACACTTGTAGAAAAGCACCCACAACAATCTTTAGACAATTTTACTGTTTTAGATGAGCCTAACATTCCACCATTTACTACGACAACAGAGCAGGTTATCTCAGCAATATTCTCATTTCCTAGTGGTTCAGCAGGGGGTTTAGATGCATTACGACCACAAATTCTGAAAGATCTAGTTTCACAACATACTGGTGACGTAGGAACTCAATTGTTAGAATCTCTTACAAAATTTTGCAATTTTATGTTAGCAGGAAAAGTTCCTTTAGATATTTGTCCTTTCATTTACGGTGCAAGTCTTACGGCCCTTAAAAAGAAATCAGGTGGTATTAGACCTATAGCGGTAGGTTGCACTTATCGTAGAATAGTTTCAAAGATTTGTGTGAAGGTCATGAATCATGTCTTTCAGGATTATTTTAGTCCAGTCCAAGTAGGTTTCAACGTAAAAAATGGTGCTGAAGCAGGAGCACACGCTGCCCGTAGATTCTTTTCCTTTCCACATCAATCACCTACAGCCTTCCTTAAAATCGATTTTAAGAATGCATTTAATATGGTAGATAGAGGGAAATTGCTTTCATCCGTTCACGAACTTGTACCAACTTTGTATCCTTATATTAATCAGTGCTATAGATTCTCATCCAGTCTTGTGTGGAATTCTTCTTTAATTGATTCATGTAGAGGTGTTCAACAAGGAGATCCGTTAGGTCCACCACTTTTCTGTTTAACCTTGCATCCAGTCATTTCAAATTTAGGGTCAGAATTTAATATGTGGTACTTAGATGATGGTACATTAGGTGGCAATCCTACTACAGTGTTAGACGATTTTCAACATATTATCTCATGTGCAAATGAAGTAGGTTTAGAATTGAACTTTGATAAATGTGAGGTTTCAGTTTTAGGTCCACAAACTAACACGCAATGTATACTAGAATCTTTCCAATCAGTTGCACCAGGTATTTCATGTATGACTAAGGAAAATGCTGAACTTTTAGGTGCACCTTTGACTCTTGAATCTATTGAACATGTTTTCCGCAAAAAGATTCACGCTTTTACTAACATGGCTGGTCGATTGCATTCCATTCCAAGCCATATTGCGTATTATCTCTTGAAACATTCACTAGCTATTCCACGATTAGTTTATCTACTAAGGGCAGCCCCTATTTTTAAATCTCCACATTTGCTAGAGGAGTTTGATTCATTGCTCCATAATGCCTTAGAACCAGGGTTCGGAAAAACCCAGGGTTTTAATCAAAAAGTAACGACCCAGGGGTTTTAATGGGTTTTAATGGGTTTTTTGGGTTTTAATGGGTTTTATGGGTTTTATTGGGTTTTATTAGGTTTTACATAAGTAATACATTGAACAACAATTTTCACTACTATTGCAATCCAATTTCAATTAATATGCAAATCCTACTTGTCCATGTTAAAATTTGTATCCGTTTCGAAATAGTCCTGTTTAACTGATCATAGTTTAATACTTTATGAGAATATATATTACCTTTTTCTCGAATACTTCCTCTCATCATAATGAAATCCAAGTTGTTTAAAAGTTTTTAAACTTTAAAATTTCAATGCGATCTTAACGTGTATTATAAAATTCTGGAAAAAATCGAGTACTTATGAACAATGAAAGTACGTATGTATTATGATCGAGAATATAATAAGTGCTTTTTACAGACACACTTCTTTTGCTCATAATAAAGTACTTCGCTGTCCATAAGTACTGGATTTTTCCAGAGGTGATAATTAAGATCGCCTTGAAACATTTTAATAAACTTTATAAATTAAAAAATACTACAGTATTTTGTTTAATTTATTCGCTGAGATGAGAGGAAGTATTCGGGAAAAAAGTATTAATTATGACAGCAAAATGTAAATTAAATGTAATTAAATTATGTATGCTCAGTTAAACATACCTCGTTCCGAAATTATTATTTTTAAATATTTTTGTCACTTGAAACTTGTAATGGCACTCGCTGATTTATTCCTGGTTTTTAAAACTTACAGTATTAGTCAAATAAACTGCTTAGCTGCCATGAAACAACTTCGTCTAACGTACGACAGCTGTTTTCAGCTTTTAGAATATAGTTTTAAGCTGAAACACAGTTAAAACCCATTAAAACCCGAATAAAACCCATTAAAACCCTAATAAAACCCATTTAACATGGTAAAACCCAATGGGTTTTATTCGTTAACAACCCATTAAAACCCATTAAAACCCAAAAAACACAACCCAATAAAACCCTGGGTCGGAATACCCTGCTTAGAACAAATTACAAATTGCCAAATTAATCCTTTGTCTTTAGAAGAAATTGCATTACCAATTAAATTAGGTGGTTTAGGAATTAGACAATCTAAAACATTAGCAACTCCATGTTTCCTTGCATCTTCATTTGCCACCACTGACTTGGTTTCTTTAATTTTGCCCTCGTATGTCACTGCTTTGTCCGATTCACTTGTGACCGAGGCGCAGGACTTGTGGAAGTCAATTAGTTGTGAAGAACTACCTCGCAGTACAATTACTTCTTTTCAATCATCCTGGGAAAGTCCAATTTTCAATTACGTATCTTCACGTATCCTGGAATCATCCACCACCCCAATAAATACTGCTAGGATTTTGGCATCAAGGTCAAAAGAATCAGGTGCATGGTTGCAAGCTTTACCATCGAGGAATTTAGGCACACTTTTAGACGATAATTCCTTCAGGATTGCAATAGGTTTGAGGTTAGGGTTAAATTTATGTTTCCCTCATAAATGTGTTTGCGGCGCACAAGGAGATGAACTAGGCTTACATGGTCTTTCATGTAAAAAAAAGTGCTGGCAGGCACTCTAGACATACGCAAGCCAATGACATTATAAAGAGAGCCTTAATTTCTGCAGACATACCAAGCATTAGGGAACCATTAGGGTGTTGTAGGACAGATGGAAAAAGACCGGATGGTCTAACACTAATACCTTACAAACAGGGACGCTCACTAATATGGGACTTTACATGTACAGACACTTTTGCCCCCTCTTATCTCTCTCACACACTTAGACATGCTGGCACAGCAGCAAAACTAGCCGAGACCAAAAAACACAAACTGTACTCTGAACTTAAAACAAACTATATCTTTGTTCCGGTGGCTATCGAGACATCAGGAGTATGGGGGACGGAAGGGTTGAAGTTCATCCCTGATGTTGGGAGGAGGATGAAGGATGTCACTGGACCAATGTCGACAACTTTTCTCATTCAACGGATTAGTTTGGCAGTTCAACGCGGGAATGCGGCATCAATCATGGGAGCTGTCCCCAGTCAACGAGGATTAGAAGAATTATTTTATATTTTAAATGATAGGTCGTTTTATTTACAAAAATCATGTAAGGGGCCGAATGGTGATCTCGGACGCCTATCCGGATCAAGTAAAGGTTTTCCCAACCCACCAACATCGGGTTTTTCCTCTACTCCCCAAGCCAACTAAGTGTATTTCATAGTTTATCAATGTTTATGTTAATAATAAATAATACCCGCTTAAATAAGCAATTATTAAAATTATCTGTGTACATTTACGTCATAATTTAACACATGTATTTACCTAATTACGGATTTTTCACAGAACTTTCCCAATTGCTAATGGCACATACGAGAGGGCATATGATATTCAACCATGTTGTTTTGTTATTGATTGACTATGGCCTGTTTAACCCCACATAATATTTGTACTGTACTGTTTACTTTGTAAAGTTGGACATATATATATAGTAGTTGTATGTATGATTTATGTAAAAGTTTGATGATGTTGCTCCTCTGAAAAAATCTGATTAGATCATAATATTTTGAACTTGAAAGTGATGTGAGATATTAAATGAATTGCATCATGAATGAACTGTGGACCCTGGAGATTAAGCCACGTATGTGTTGGATAGTCTGTAGAAAGCAAAATTTAATAACGATTATTGTGATTGAAGAGTGATTCAGTCAATGCACAGTCATGAACGAATATTTCAATTAAAATTTACGAAGTTTTCGGAAAACTGACTCATCTCCTTCGTTCTTGGTTCTCTTATTTTTGCTGGTTTATTGTCAGCAATAAATCAAGGAAAATGATCACAGAATTTATTCTGATCATTATTGCGCTGGGTGCACTTTATTCCTGGTGGAATTCTCGGTCACCAAAAAAACTTCCTCCAGGTGATTGTCTAGATCAACTGCATAAATTTTTGTATACCTATGACGAAGAGTTAATTGACTACGGCCACAAGGGTGCCAGTCATATAAGTAACATGTCTCAATCTCAACTATTTCTATCTGTTTTATCATTCATTGTGTGTCATCTCAAAAAGGGCCAAGTCCGTTTTTCCCAATCTTGGGCAACATCCCTCAACTTATCAAGTACAAGGCGGAGGCCAGCTATGAAACCTTTGACAAGTTGGTAGAAGTATATGGTCCAGTAGTTTACATTAGATTTGGCGCAATTTCACAAGGTAATATCCAATCGTATAAATTCCAGTCCCAACAAATTCAGCACTAATGTAATGTTTTTATGGATCCTTATCAAGTGGTGGTACAAGACTTGGCTCTCGCCAAAGAGGTTTTGTCCAGCGATGTTTGGGTGGATCGCGTGTTTGACGAATACATTGGCGAAAGATCGTGGGGAAAGTCACTCGGTAGGGGAATTTTATATTCATCACACATGTCGCGAATTGTATCCGGCTTCTGTGAAAATTACGCCTAGATTTTACTTGAGTACAGGCATAATTTTCTCGTGGGGCGAAGTGTGGAAGGAAATGAGGAGATTTTCTATGAGAACCCTCAGGGACTTTGGTTTTGGGCGAATTCAAAGCATGGAAAGCGTAATTGACGACGAGATTACGCTGGTGCTGTCCTCCCTCGAAAACGTTACCTCTTCCAAGAAGGAAATGTCCATGCGACAGTTTTTCACCGTGTCGATTCTCAATATCTTGTGGAGTATGGTGGCCGGGTTCAGATTTTCCCATGAGGATGTTAAACTCAAGAAGCTCATCAATTTAATTGACGAAACGTCAAAGAATAATCCCGCGAAGGCTGGAATCGTCCAAGCGTTCCCATTCCTATTTCGATTTGTCAAAAACTCCCACCGTGCAAACCGTAGAAGAATCTTTATTGAAGAAATGCAAAACTTTTTTAGGGTATATCGTTATTAATATTTAATTATGGATTATTATGCACACACTAAAAGCAATATAAAGTACGGTTACAAAACGTTGACCATTAGGAAATCTTGGACGAAAGGCGTAAAAGCGGAAGCTACAAGGAGGACACCCCCAAAGATTTTATTGATGTTTTCCTCCAAGAAATTGACGCTCACAAGAACGACGACAGTTTGACAAACCTTTACACGGGTGAAACTCTCGATAAAAAATTATGTCTTGGCTGAGTGAATAACCTGTATTCAAGGTTTGCTAAAATGCATTTGTACCTATTTAGATGAGCAGTTTATTATGGTCTTATATGACTTATTTGTCGCTGGGGCTGAAACAACCAGCAACACGCTGGAATTTGCTATGCTTTACATGGTTCTTCATCCTGAAGTGCAAACCAAGGTTCAAGAAGAAATTGACCGAGTCGTTGGGAAGAGTAGACGAGTCACTTTGGAAGACAAATCCAAGTATGCGTATTCAAATGACTCAATTAGTTACTCGCACGGAATGCAAAATCATTATTTTGGATTTTGGACAGAATGCCATACACGGAAGCAACGCTTTTAGAAATTCAAAGGGTGGCCAATGTTTTGCCTGTTGTCATTCGTGGTTGCAATCAGGACACAAATATTGCGGGTTACCACATTCCAAAGGTAGCCACCCCATATTTTCCGTAGAGATACATAATTGGTTTAAGTTCACGTAAAGCATACTTGTCTCAGGGTACCTTGGCTGGCATCAGCTCAATTAGTTTGCATAACAGCAAAGCCATCTGGTCAGACCCTGACAAGTTTCAGCCTGAGAGGTTCCTGGACGAGGACAAGACCAACATAGTCAACGCGAACAAGATCCTGCCATTTGGCCATGGAAAGCGTGTGTGCTTGGGCGAGGCCTTGGCTAGGTTAGACAAATAACGTCCTTTGCTGATAACAACAGTAATTTATAATGATTTATGACATTAATTCGGAAAAAAACATCCAGGGCTTCCCTCTTCAGCTACTTCGCCTCCATCCTCCAACGCTTCTCCCTCACGCCGTCCCCAGAACATCCACGGCCCTCGAAGGTTCCCGTGAATGGATTTACTCTTTCACCCCAGGAGTACTTTGTCATCCTCAAACAGCGATGAACATAATCAGTCAAGCTCCTCGTATCAGAATTTCCTGAAGTTACGTCTTTAACGATTATGCATGTGATTATATTAAGCATTGCTTCATTTAGTTGGTTTATTAATTACAAAATAAATAGAGAAGTTACCCATTTCCTCAACTTGCTCAACGATATCCCGTTTACTGGCGTTTACTCGCGTTAATGTATTTATCTTAAATCTGGCTTCATTTTCATGGTGGTTTCATTTCATAACATTTTTACACCTTATGACACAATCGCATCTCTCTCCAGATTTATGAATTGTCAATGGCGGACTGTATTTGTGATTCTTTCATCTTTTTTACACCGATTTCGATGTTGATCAACGAGGGTAGTTATTTTAAAAGAAGTAATTTTAGACGTCCGGATTCGCTTGCTTAGGTTGGATTAGCATTTATTTGTCTGTCTATTGTCTATTTGTATTTGTGCAACCTTGCTATTTTTGCTGTGCGACTGCAACTTATTGTTCTAAGGATGCCGAAAGAGCGAGACATTCTGAAAATGATCTGGACAAATTTCATCAAATCCTTCCGACCTCGGCAAATAACTGGGAATCTTATCGGGAAAGATAGATTCGGAAATCAGTACTTTGAGATCCCACCAAGTGTGTCCCGGATATTCTAATTATGTGTTTATTTAAAAATGGGTGTCACTGTACTTTTGAATTCTTATGTAGATCCCAGCATCGGAAAGCGAAAAGCTGAGAGATGGTTCCAGCCTACAGGAAAGAACGAGTTGGACCATTTCGACAAGGAACTTCCTGCAGAGTGGGAATGTGAGTATAAGTAAAACATAGATTTTTTATTCAACAAAAAAAACATTTTGAAGCATACGAATTGATTTTTTTGTTCAATTATATTCCTTCTTAGCCTGGTTAAGAGGACGCCGAGATAATCCCCCCTCGGAGGAAGAATTGGTTAAAAATCAAGCAATTGCGCTACTCAAAAAACAGAATGCTGCAGAATTAGAAATTAAGCATGCCAAACCAGGTGCTCCTCCAAAAGAAGAAAAAATGCAGGTTTGTGAGCAGTTATATTAATATAACTCTATGTTTGTGAGTTTTACATTTACTTTGGGATATAACTTAATGTAATATTTATGTGACATTAATTTCACAGGATTTCCCAATGTACCCGGAATATGAAACCAGGCCCGGAGATAAAGATAAGTGATTAAGCGATGTTAATACTTTAATCTAGTCGAACCCTTAAATCAATAAACATTCTAATTTCTTCAAATAAGAATACATGGTAGAATTTATTACTCGAAGTTAATATACTTGTTTTAATGCTTCTTTTGCTTAGCATGATCCTTATGGTCCTTGGCCACTGTGAAATATTTTATTACCACTTTTACTGCTGAAACTACAATTAAAGCAGCAATTATCAGAAACCCAGCTAGAAATCCAATGACATCAATAGAGTGGAATTGGATGAAATTGAGTTCTCGTGCAGCAGAGCGCAGATGAGGTGCACCATTGTATTTCAGAACATGTTCTGTCCAATATACAGCCCTTTCCAATGGCGAATTCATCTGATCTTTCGACACCTTAGACAGCAATTGAGCCTTGGTCTTAAACCTATGCATCAATACCATTAAAAAGTTTTGCATTAATTATTCATTTACAGAATATTAATCCTTCTTTAATGTGCTTACTTGGTTTCATGAAGAATTTTATTGATTCCGTGTTCTAGCTCAGTTTCAGTGAAATTCCAAATATTCATGTTCAATCCCACACCTTGCTGTTCAGCCCCTCTTGCGTTTGCCATTTGGTCGAAAAATAAGGGAAACATAATCACTGGAACACCGTGGTAGATCGTTTGCTGGGTACTTAGGAGCCCCCCATGTGAGATGAAGAGACGTAGATTGCTGTGCCCTGGAGAGCATCTCAATATTTAAGAATCTCGTCCAATACTTATTTACCTATTAATTAATACAGTCGTTAATAGAGCGTCACCTAAAATATCCTGCTGAGGTAGCCATTTCCTGAGGATAACATTTGAAGGCAAGTTGGCCATGTCTTCAGACTCCCATTTCCATAAAACTTTTTGCTTCAGACGAGAAAACACGTGGAGAAACTTATTTCTAATCGATTCTGGTAAGGTAGAACCTTTCAAAACGGTTCCAAAACTTATAAAAATAAAACCATGTGGAGCAGCAGCAGTTCCTAACAATTGTTCCAAGTCCTGCAAATAATTTTTCGAAATAATATGTATTATACTATTTGGTGTAATTAAGAAGACAAAATATTTCAGCTATGTAGCATCAGAGAAAACTTGTATGTATTACATATTACATGATAAATGTGTACCTGCGGAAGAGGTTTTGGGTTTTTGCAGTGCAAGCAACCAATTTCTATCACGTCTGGCATCAAAGGTCTGTGATAGGTCGTCAGATAATGGGTGTTTATCATCATCAAACTTGCATTCTTCTGAATTTCCTTGACGGATGGTATATCTTGGCCGAGGTGTTTTCTATACGCCTTCTCGTACAGTGGGATGTGGGTCATCTCGACGTGAAAGTAAACTGCCCAGTCCACCACGAAGTTGGCGAGGCGTTGGGAGAAGCCCATCCGGTCAGTGAAGTCGAGGAGTGGGACGGGGATGTGCGAAGAAGGGAAGTACACCCCCCAGTCCTTCAGAAAGTAGTTGCTCAAGGCCATGGTGTGGAGGAGGATGAAGGGAGCCTGGTTTTTGTATATCAGGCCGAAAAAGGCTTGACCAAAGAACATGTTGGTCATTATGAGGTCGTACTTCTCATTCAACACGGGCTGAAAGTCAGGATGCGTATAGATTTTATCCACAGGTCCCATGTACGCCTTCATGTCCAGAAATATAAGGTCCCAACCTGCGTTTAATTGGGTATCAATTGAATGAACATATCCATACACGTGTTGATTAATTGATTTCACAACCTAGATCTTGCACATTTCCAATGTCACCAACATTGCCGTAGATTTCTTCGACCGAGATGGGCACGATTTCTTTCACATTTTCATGATGCAGGACGTCTGGACTGTTCGTCACGACCGTCATATTGTGCCCGTTCGAGGCCAATTTTAGAATAAGTGGCTCGAAAAAATGTTTCTCACTCCTTGTCGACATTGGAATCAGGAATAAAATCTTGGCATTTTCAACGTGTCGTGGAGTAATTAAGAATGTAAATACAAAAACACAAATTTTAAAACAATGTGCAGTATGCATTTTAAAAGTATTCAGGGAGAGAAAATTTTTTTCTAATACTGAATTCACTATGCAGTGTGAGTGACACTGAATCCGCGGCACGTGGACTGAGAATGAGTGGAGTAGGATGGTCAAGATAAGTGTTTCAGGTTGATATATGGCCTCATGTAAATGTACACCGTCCATACGAATATAGTGCTGTGAATGACAGTCGGATATTTGTTCATCACAGCCTGTGATGGAGATGGATGACCATGAACACAGCAAAAAGTTTAACTTACTTAATTAACACAAGTCATTCGACTGAGGGTGTGCAAGTTTAAATCGAGCCTGCATGCATTCATCTCTCAGGTTCAGGATAAAAAAGTGCATCAGTTGATTTCAATTACTCTAATCAAAAACACCACGTCATCGCGAAGAGATTTGCATGCAAAACGCAATAAAAACTGAGAAATATGTGCACCCCTATTACAAACTATATTATAAATTGCTATATGAAGTTAGATTTTTTATGAATTAATGTTGCTCAACCAACACAATGTTGCTCAAAATTCAAAGATTGCTATTTTTACTTTATTTATTAATTTATCAATGCAAAAGACTTGATAAATACAATGTTTAGGGCTTAGGGTTACATAAATATGAATTTTAGATTAAAGTTTGATCCGATACATAGAATAAATGAAATCTTAAGGAACTAGTTGAAAATTAGGGAATAATATTCAAAATTTCACACTACAAATAATCTGATATCATTTTACTTATTATGTATTAAATAGGAGACAGGTAGTAAGTAAATAAATGTGTTTGCAATTTATATAATATTTATGCAGTTGAGGAAACTGCCAACTTTTTAAGATGCTCCATAAAGACTTGCAACGATACATCATCAGTCAGAACAGGTGCTCCTCCCTCCTGTAAAAATACATAGAATTCATCGCATGCTATATTTGAGTATATGATTATGGAATAGTATAGCAATTAATAATCATAAAGGATTTCAAATAACGTTATAAAATAAAATTACTCCTACCCCAGTAAATTGCTGGTTTGGTACGGGCATCTAGATTTGCAAGGTCAAAAACAAAGGTCAAAACCAAGCGAACGTGAATGGGGTTGTTGTTTGTAGGTAGGCAAAATGTTATTAACAAACGACACAACGCAATCAGCAAATCATGCCAAAGTAAAAATAAATAAGATACCAAAATTAGGGCAAAATCACAATCGTGCAATGAATGGAGCAAAAATTGATGAAACTTACACTTCCTCCATAGGCATACATGTTATTGTGCGTTTGCGATGGGTTGACTTTGGAGAGGAGGAAACGAGCCTGCAATATTTTTAAGGTCAAATTAGTTTATACATGAAGGATTTTTGTGGCAAAGCAGAAACGTTATATTCTATTCTATTTCCTATGGGTTGCTAATTACCTGGGAGCCCCCTTGTTCAGTGTCAATATATCGAGGGACAGGAAATCTGTTTTGTAGTAGTTCTTGTGCATCCGTAACTGGGGCTTCTAAAAGTTGTCGAAAATTATCATACTCTGGCAAGTTCTGATACCCAGCTGCTCTCCATTGGGCAATCGTCTAAATACAGTACACAAAATAATTTAATTCAACGAATTGACACTAGAAATAAAATTATTACTCAACGTGCTACGAGTCCGAGCTTACATACTCACCTCGCCATGGAAGATTAAAATTTGGAAAAATGTGTCCATGAGCAAAATTCGGTCGGGTTGAATGCTAGACGTATCAAGCAAAACTGGTTCTGGGGGCCCGTTAAAGCTGTAACTGTAGAGGATGGGTTGTATCATTATTAAGGATTGTGTAAGATCTTCCCGGTTCAGCATGGTTCTAAAAATGGTTTCAGAAAATTGTCAAAAACAAATTAATTTTCATAATTGTACAAACAACGCTCCTTTTATAGAAATTAGTACCTGTAGAATGTGGTCTCATCTGGAGAGTTGTTGAAAACTTGCAAAAATTGACTTCTTCTGAGATGAAACATAAACTGAGGGTAGAGTGTAAAATTTTCCGCTAATCTAAAGCTTCCAGGGTCGTCTTTGTTGTATTCCCCAAATTTCTGACAGATGCGAATTAACATTCTATCCACCCAACGAAGCACATCGGAACCTTCATCAGAAGCTGACTCTGCTCTGAACACGGCCAAACGAGCCATCAATACTGCGGCACATTCCTGATCGAAACCGGCAGAAATGTGGTACAAGTTGGCTGTAGCATCGGCCCAACTGTTATGAAACATACATTAATTAATTTGACGTATAATACTAACGATACTACTATAATCTCAATTCGATAAATAAAGTTAAAAACGTTTCTTCGATCGAATTTCCACTGAACCCCAGTGTATTCAAATTATTCAATTAGCAATCCCCTGTAGCGATGCGAATCTTACTTTCTAGCTATAGTTGTGACACGAACTCTCTGTTGTCCAGTTGCATGTTGATATTGTGTAATGAACTGGATGCATCCTCGACCGCCTTGAGGTATGGGTGCGCCGTGCTGAGGACAGAGAGAAGAAATTCAATATGCATTATTTACTTTTTACTTTTATGAAGGATAATCAATAATTTACCTGATTAACAATTTCAAAGAACATGCTGACTGTTGTGCTAGGATCAATGACACAAAACTTCCATTGACACGTCCCTCCAACACCCATTTCAGTTTCTGCAACGCAGCCTGATTTCACCCCCAGACTGACACAGGCACCGATAGCACCACAGACTTTCAGTTCACGGGATGATTTCACTTCCACGGTGGCGTTGAAAGCCATTTTCAAGTCATTCTTTTCAGTACGGTTGAAAACGCGTTGAAAGGTTTGTTTGAATAAAGTTGAGTTGAAACTGTCTCCCATTACCATGTGGCCACTAAACCAGCGAATTACGAGATATTGACAAGAAGATTGAAAATGTAGCATGCGTAATGGTATTGTTAGTATTATTACCCAGTCATATTGCAACAAAATCTCATTTCCAACAATCCAGTTTGATCCAAAGCACAAGAGTAGATATCGATTCCATGACCATTCGCGGCAGCTCGAGAAGAGAGGAGTTCATAATGTTTCGCCCCTTTCTTCATATATTTCGCGTTATCCTTCTCAATGTCGTGATGCGATCTAATGGGATGTTTCAACTCGTCGTCCACCACTTGGCCAGGACCTTGGGAGCAAGGACCACCACAGAAAAGTAGGATTCTTCCTCCAGACCCTGGATAACAATTCTGAAATTTACAAGTTATTTATTTAATTATTTATCCTCTTTTTACAATTATTCAAACTTCATCTCGGAGGAATCAACACGTGTACTTACCTCTAATAATCCGACAGCAATTGATAATGCTACTCCAGTTGACCGCAGTGCTCTCTTCCCTTGAGGCACAGTCCACGGATCTCTTTGCAATTCACCCAATAAATCCGTAACTTGCATGTCGCATGCAGATAATGGCTGAAGGAATTTGTTGACTGGGACATGTTGATGTTGCTGTGGACCACCACCAGGTTGACCTCCTGGTCTTTGCTGTAGGCCTCCACCAGGTTGAACCACAGCTCTCGTCAGCCCCAACATTTCTTGCAGTTGTTTCGCAGTGAGGTCTTTTGTGCCTTTGAACACGAAACTTTTGCTAATTCCTTCATTTCCACCTCCAATTTCATGCACTGCAACCATTTTCCCGAACGTAATGATTCCAATGAGAGCATTTGGTGGGAGGAGACTCAAGCTGAGTTGAAGCGACTCCTTCAATGCCACCAATTCATCATCATCAAGACAGGTGTCGACGACGTACAGAAACACGGGTGGAGGGACCTGAACTCTTGTGATTGTATACTCGATTGTTGAAAATTGAGGTATAAGTTCTGCCGGTTGACACTGCTCGGTCATTTGATTATACTGCGGTGGGAAAGGATTCCTTTGAAAACAAAAATTGCACACCCAGAACTTTGCTCTGTAGTCCACTTGACATAATGGATTCAAAATTGCTCGACAATTGCCACGAGTGCACAATACGGGATCGTACGCAATTGGAGGAAGGTCTGCAAATACGAACCAAGCCAAAATTAGTTTTGATAAAACTCAGTTCAGGACACTAGCCTTAAATTAGCTTACCATTCCGTTCCTTTAGAGGTGTGAAAAGGCATCCTAAGGGAACGACCAGTCGTGTAGCTGTGGATTTAACAACAGAAAATAGTAATGCGTGACATCAACATTTCCGAATTATAATACATAATATAGAAGAGCTAGGGAGATTAAATACCTTCTAATTTGCTACTCGGCCAAACGTTCCAACTTAAACGAACCCCGTCCCGATCTTCTTGACTTTGAATGAATTCGGCGTATGTCGCCATTTCGCCACAATGTTTGCACCACAGGTGAGAGGCGGACGTGTCACGACAAGGGTCAACTCACTGACTTGCCTCGTCGAGTGACGAAATGTGAAATGTAAGAGTTGGCTGCTGACTGCTGAGGCTTACGTGGCTTTTTCCGTCAGAAAAGTCGGTCGATCGGCGGCAGTTTCATCCCCACTCGATGACTCCAGTCTCACGTCACCCCACTCAAAGCGGGGGTGGATCCTCTTCCTCTGGTCATCTGTTCACGGCACAGGTTATCTTCTCCGGTCGCCACATCAACGACTCACACGACATGACCTCCACGTCCCAGCAGGGACCCCCAGACTTGCTCACCAAGTACAACAAACTCGCAACAGAGTATGCAAAGGTAAGTTTAGTAACAAATGTATGATACAGTTTACACTTGGAATTTTGGAATTGTTAAAAAAATGATCTGCTGGTTTCATAGTTAAGGTCACAATTTCCGGTTCTAAAGCGCGGAGTAGTTGATGAACAAGCAAAGAGTGCCGAGTTGACGGAAAGTTTGCAAATAAAAGACCAATCCCTTCGAAAGTTGGAGCAAGAAGTGGACAGCTTAAATTTTAGAAATAAACAACTCGAAAAACGAATTGGAGTTTTGCAAAATGAGTTGGACGAAATTGCAGCAAAGAGTCACAAAGGGAAAAGGTCAGGGAAGGATACAAGTGCACAAGAAACCCCATCCAGTTCATCCACAACATTGGACTACGAACTCATCTCAAAAATTGAAGAAAACATGAAATTACAAAAACAGGTAAATTTATTGTTATACTTAATTCTAAATCATAGTTAGATCAATTATGTAATAATCATTCATATTTTTTAGCTTTCCGATGTTCAACAATCTAGTAATTTCGAAATTGAGACGCTGAGATCCCAATTGGAGTCCCTGCATAATGAGGAGACTCACAAGGAGTTAATGCTTGTAAGTGTGTATAAATAAATGTATAGTTACAAACGAACAATCATTCCTAACTTAAGGCTTATTTATGATTTTTAATTCTTAGAGCGAACTGACATCATTGAAGTCTGACAATCACAGCCTAACATTTGCCCTGCAAAATAGTTTGGACGAAATTGAAGCATATAGAGAACAGGTGAAACAAATGAAGGAGAAGATAGCGTCCCCTGTCCATATACCCAATAGTAATACCACGTCGGCAAATTCGGAGCAGAAAAAGTTAATTTCAGCCGACAAATCTGCATCGAGTGACTCTGGGATGCAAGGAATTGATCTGGAAGCAGAACCTCCAGATTTGTTGGAAAAATTGAAAACTGCAATGCAACAAAAAGAATTTTGGGCGTTAGAATACCAATTGTTGAAAATGAAATATGAAAGAATTTCAAGGGTATACATGATATTCATTACATATTTAGTTTATTACAAAAACCTCCACAATATACCTGATAAACATACAATGAATCTTTTGCTCTTTAGAAATGGGAGGAATGTAAAGATATCCTCAAAACTTTAGGACGAGAAGATCTTTTGTTAAATTCCTCTGAAGTCACAAGTCCCACAATAGAGCCCAGTAACTTGATGGGAAAGTTAGAAATTGTGAATCTGGAAGGCAGCGATGTCGATATCAATGGGAGATCATACGAAAAAGAGGTCAAAGAACACATGTTGAAGAAAATTAATGAATTGGTCTCCCTTTTGCAATACGCTGATTCCCAAGCGGTCCATTTCCACAATGAGGTAGATTATCTCTACTCTAAGCTGTTTGTTCATCAATCAATAATATTAATTATACTTTACACAGGGAAAGGCAATGCGATCTCTGCTTACTATATCATGTGAGAAGACACACGACCTACAGCAAAAGTTAAGGGCATCCAATTCTAAGGAGTTGGAACTTAAAGAAGAGTTGGATTTAACTAAAGAAAACTACGAAACTCAATTAACGCAGTTGAGCGAACATTTGGCTATTATGAATGAGAAAATAGCAGAAAAGCAAGAACTCATTAATGAACTTCAGTTAAAAATAAAAGGGAAGAAATGACAAAATAATTTTAGCTTGCATAATTAGGCAATCTGTGATGATACAAATATTCGTATACAATAACATGCATTTATCCCAAAATGTATGGTTTTATAGCATTTTATTACCCGACTTGTAAGAATTTCGCGAGAGCATGATAAAAATGCAGGATTGAAAATCTTGCGTAAATTGCATTTATGCTGCTACGCTCATACTTCAAGCAAAGGAAACGCAAAGAACGTCACGCATGGTGTGTAATTTTCTCAGGTACGCACAATCAAAGTAATTGTTTTGTTATACTTTTTTATACATTCACTCTCCTGCAGTTGCCAACAACCGAAGAAGTGAACGTCTTATTATTATATTGCGTGAATAAGGGAACTTGAGACAGGTAACTCGTATGTATTTTACTTTCGTTTATTTAGACCGACTCATCATCATCCAAACTATTGTGGTCTTCTCACTCACCTCTTCGGGTTGAGGGAGTGTTTTGCATTACTACTGGTGGGTGAATGAGTATGTAATCATCAAACCCCTACCTGCATATATGCCAGGTTTAAAAAGCAACAGACTTTTTAACCCTTTCCTTATGGACTTCCTTTGATTCGCCTTTAAAGCTTTTAGTTGCTAAAAATTGAATGAAAACAAGTCGACTTTGACTTGAAATAAGGAGAGGCGAAGCGTGACAGAAATCTGTAACTGTAACGAACTGTCATCCAATTTAATACTTATTCCCCACCAACGAAAACTTTGCTAAAACAAAACCTTTAACACAAGTCTTCAACTGTTTCAAACAAACTTTTTCGTTTACTTCTTGTGCTCTCCATTGGGTTCGTCATACATAATTATGGTTTGTACATACCTTTTTAAAGCTTTTTTGTGAGAAAATCATGCGTCTTAAATCTTTTACGATTTCCTAATCTGGTTTTCTCACAGAGCATCCGTCCGACCGAATTTTACACTTAATTATTGTCATTCTTGTACATTGCAGTAAAAGTGTAGTCTCTTTTTGGTTTAGTACAAAACCTTTATTGATTTACATACATATTTTATTAGCCATTGTCAAATGAAACCCTTTCTCTTTTTGATCGAACATTTTAGTTGGTAATTTGCTTCCGATAATATTTAACTAATAATCGTTATCTTAATTACCCTTGTTTAGACATAAGTGTGACTCACCCACCACGGTGCCGTAGTTCATAATAGTAGCTCAAAACCGATCCTGTGAGAGAGTGCTACCGATTTGGGACAACGAGTCACAACCTTCTCGCTTGTGCCTAGTTCATTGCATACGACTAAATTGACCATTAATTAAAATAGTGACTTGAAAATGGGTAAGAAAAAAATTGTACCTCAGAGTGTCTGACACATCTGATAAATAATACACTAAATAAATTGTTCTCGTGTCCATAGCGGGAAACGGGAGTGGGACGTTTATGTCGCGAGTACCCTATGCAACACTGGTGGCAACGATCATGTGTCTGGCTGGCGTTGGAGTATTTTGTGGGACAATGTACAGGGGCGTGGCTCTATCGAGACAAATGTTCACAGAAGTTTTTCACTTCCGCGTGGACTGGTTGGACGCCGTGCAGCTGACCTTCGTCATTGTGGGAGGGTGCATGGGAGCTCTGGGTGTTATGATCCTCTTCGTGGGCTGTCTCACCACGGGGGAAACTCGACGCACGGTGTACAAAGCATGGAAAGCACGCGTTGGGGGAAGAATCACATGCGCCATTGTAAGAAGATTTTTTTACATATAAAAATTGTCTTATATTCATAATATCTATAATATCGAATATCTATAAATTTGTAATATTATAAAACCGGCAGTTTATGGTCATCACATACATTTTGGAAGTTGCATGGCTCCTCATGTTCTGTTTTTTGACGATTGTGACTGCGACTTTCTCCATCTTTTGGTCTCTTTGTGCGGTAATTACTCTTTTAATTTTCTGAATTTACAAAGAGTTTAATTTGGCGATGTACCCAACTCATTGGCCCTTTCATTTTGGAATTCTACTAGCACAAAAAACAACCTTACGATCAAGAAAACTGCATCGATTTTCAACAATTTGGTAAAATTAATCAATCCTTACGATCATTGTAGTATAAGTGAGACAATTAACCGAACTGTGACTATTTCGGTAACTGTTTCAGACTTTCTGTTTCCGAATAATACGAGGGTGGATGACATGAAAATTTGTGAAACCCATGAGATAAAACTCTTCTGCAAGGATTATGTGGAAAGGGCCGAGGTCATGTTCATTTTAGCAACCGTTGCATGCGCCCTGGTCATTATGAGCCTGGTAAATTATTATGTTTATCTAGTATTACTATTGTTTTCTAACGTTATGTCTAAAATAGATTCACTATTTGATGTGCCTATCTGCAAATTATGCTCACATTAAGGACCATGAGAAACTCCAAGATTTTCAAGAACTGCAGTACTTTACTTCCGGGGATGAAATGACTGCGTTGGCGAGCAAAGACCGTTATTAAACATAGTCCATCAACGATCTCGGCACAATACGTCCAATTCTGTTCAAAACTACGAACAAAACCCATGACACAACCGGACTTTTTACGAAAACTTTACGCATTAGTTAGTGTTTGAGAGAGGGTGATTCTATACTTTATCTAGTAAAGTAAGCATTTTCCTATTTCACATACAAAACATGTGAACGCTATGCATACATATGACATGTGGGTAAACCATAACTAAAGGATATTTATAATTTAATTTAATTTATGACGTTCCGTTCCAGTGATTTTATACCGTAACAATTTTATACAGAAAGTAATTATTGCAACAATTGTGTTAATGATACAACACAACTTTGTTCATCGTTTATTCAATAAAATATTTAATAAAATTACAAAAATTCAACGTTGCAAAACCGTTCATATTACCTTACTAAATCTAAATCTCGCAGTAAATGATATACATTACTTAAATTAAATTAGTTTAAAGTGAAGGACAAATGTTGCATAGTCTTCGTAAAAAGTATTTGTACTACTATTACTAACATCAATGTAATGACAACATTAACGAAATTAACTATGTATCTATATTGTGATCTATATTCACTCATTGTCAGACCTTCAATCAGATCATAACTTCACTGGTATAATAAGACTTAAGGCACATAATAAATCATGGACAGATTGAGATTTCTGCAAATACATGTCATGGACGGATCAATTAGAAGCATATATCGAATTTGATTACGAAGATTGTACTCTTCTAAATTACAGACTCTATAGTATGAGGTAGCTTTTCATTTTAATTAAGTGAGAACAGAAAGACAAGGACGCCAAGGGAAGAAAGAAATCCGATTCCTGGTTTGATCAATGAGAATCCAGAGTTGCAAAAATGGTCAAACTGACAAAAGCACCACGTTACTTCGTCATAATAGTCTCTGAAAAATTGTCAGTGATAATTTATTACGCCTTCAGTTTGACAGAAATGTTGGCAACATCTCTTTTACTTTTACATATATGTACTACTAACCTTGCAACATCCAACTGTTTTATGGAATTATTGACATAATGTGCTAACTGAATATCTTTGGCAGCCGGTCGACAGCCCTCGTATTTATCAGCAGGAACATCGTGTCGGGAATATCTAGACAATACATAATATGTAGCAATCTTAATTTATTTCAAGAAAATTAAAATTAAAAACGGTAAAACAAACAAACTTACTCCACTTGACTCAAGCAGTTTCTTGTAATTACCACGTCCGCTAAGAAATTACGGATTTTTATGTACAATACTGTATAATAGTCATTAGTATGATATGATGGCTCACCTCCTTTACGTTCCACAATCTTGACACATTTATCATTCGTGTCTGGACAAGTTACGGACGTGTACCACCTCCAATCAAACGGCGTCCCACATCCCGGTTGCGTGCTCACGCACTGATAACACCACAAAGCTTCTCCTCCTAAAAAAAACATTCTTTTAAAAGTTTGAACAAATGATTAATGTCCTAACAGAATTATAAACATAAATGATTATAATTGCTAAATTTATCCAACAATTAAAGGCTAAAACTAAACTCTCAAGAATGTTTGATTATAATTGCATACATTTATTTGTTTTGTTTTTTACCTTGAAAGCAAAAAAAGCAGAAAACAACAGTGCTGGTAATTATTTTAGAGAGCATCTTTCCGGCGTAATTTTATGAATTATCTTAAGCTCTGTGGACCAGCGTCTCTTTCGTGTGGATGCACAAACCGTTTTATGTTTTTCTAAACCAACACTTATCGCTGGATGGAACACTTTCACCTTAATTCGCCGAAAAGAATACAGAATCGAAAAAGGGTTGAACTTAACAGCACACACACACCTGTGAGACGCTGTTTATAGCCGTTGTTTGTACCGTGAGTCAGTCAGTCTCACCTGCAAAGTGCAAACCTGTCGCTTCAATTGACGACATCGAGTTGATTTTGCTGGAACAACCAGCGGCAGCTCACTGGCATGAATTCGGAATCTAAATTATGGATCAGCCGGATTAAAATTTCGTTTTCCGTGTAATTTTTGTTTATATCGCCAGTTGGTGCTTATCATCGTTCATCATGGCTCTACAAATCTCAATCCTGAGGTTGATGGGTTGCTCATCAAACATGCTGAGCCAACTCCTCCTCCTCCCCCAGAAGAGATCGCTCCACGTGTGCCCTTGTCCCTGCAAAAATGCCTCCTTTGACGTATCCCGACAAGCGAGATTCATCAAGAAACTGATGACGGGGTCAAGTCATTCCAAGTACATCTATTATTACAAAAGCAGATCGTAGGTAACAATAGGATTAACTGAATATGATGTATGTTTGTTCTTCAGGAAAAAGTTTTTCACCGTGGATCAACCCGTGTCAAAAACGTTTGTTGAGATGGGGACCTCTGTACGCGGTGGGGGAGTTTCTGGAGCTCCTGTCAAGTCGAAAAAATGCTTGCGACGAGTAGAAGTTCTCAATGCATTGTTTATGGAACAAATTACAAGTATGATGTCCACTGGGGAAGTCTCTCAAGAACTCCTTGGACTAGGTCTAATTGTCTCCAGAGTAAACGTGTCCAATGATTTTTCTCGAGTAAACGTTTACTGGGTGGGTTCCGGGACGTGTAAGGATGACGTTATCGAACCCATCCTAAGAAAAGCGGCTGGCAGGTTGCGACATGAATTGACCCAACTAAGGGTGATTGGAATAGTTCCCCCAATAGAATTTGTGAAGGACAAGACACACTCCAAGATTGCCGAAGTGGAATATCTTTTAACCAAATGCGACTTTGGGGATGACTTTGTACCCACTACCTCAAATAATTTGTTTTCTCAAATAAGTCCTAAATATTTAAGGCAACAACAGGATGTAACTGTTGTGTCGTCGGATGATGCTGAACAAGTCCCTGCAGAAGTATCTACTCCAACCTTCGAATCGGAATTGTATGATTCGATTTCTATGCGACAAGATGTTCTTGGAGTTCGCCATGACGTGATACGAAATCAGGTTAGCTTATTTAGAATGATCAATGGAATATCTCATTTACACATGTATTTTAAGTATTTTATAAATATTTTTACTCTCTCTTCAACAGATCACAGAGATGGTTAAAAGAGTTCACACTAAAAAGGCAAAGCTTACAACAGTGCCTGAGCAAGACTTGGAGGAGGATCCGGATGCTGAACGTCTCCATTCTCCATTGTTATCCACATTACGGAGAACTAATGAGGAGATTGTCGCTGAGAAAAAGAGACAGCAAGATTTTTTCAAGTATCTAAAGAAGCAGCAGCTCGCAAAAACTGTCCAATTAAAACAGTTGACCACAAAAGCCAACGACCAGGAATTTTATTATGAAGAGGCATTTGAGAGATGGCGAAAAGCAACTTTCGACATAGACAACGCGTTCGACGACGAAAAAGAGGACGACGACTACCCAGAGGAAACGTATTATTCTGGCAATAATGTGCACAGATAGAATAAAGTTTTGATTTGCCGATTTATTATTAGGAAAATAGACAATAAAATTACAATCACATATTAGGAATGTGAAAATGTTGAAAGAATGTGTTTCTCAACTACTTAATGGCTTAGAAGCTCATCAAACTATGGATGGGAGCTTTCACCTTGGTTCGTCCGTTTAAATCCGCCAACTCCATAATAACTAGACAGCCAGATACTTTGGCTTGACAATCGGCAATAAGGGTAGTTGCTGCATTGAGGGAACCTTGATAAAACCATCTCATATTATTATTACCATAATCGTGAGAGGAAAATTTATTGTTGTAATACCTCCAGTGGCCAGAAGGTCATCAACAATAAGAATATTTTGTCCAGGTTTGATACTTTCCCTTTGAATTTCGAAAGTATCCTTGACCAAAATAATTAACATTGAGGTTGGATAAGAAGATGTTATAAGAAGTAGGAAGTAGCTATATAACTACTAATGCTTGGCTTCAAGTGAATAAATATGTATTTATATACCGTTCCATACTCCAAGGAATACGTGACCTTGTTCAAAGCTCCAGGAAGTTTTCCAGGCTTCCTAATCGGGACGAATGGAAGGCCTAGAAAACAAACACGAGTAGAATTTGTGATTCTTCGAGTCTTGGGGGAGCTAATTAAGCGTTACCCAATTCAATGGCTAAAATTGACCCAAAAAGGAAGCCCCGTGACTCCAGCCCCACCACCACCTCGGCCTCTCCAATATTATTTCGGGTGTATTCCACCATCACATCTTTCAACACTCTGAAGGCTGTGGGGTCACGGAGGAGACTAAACATGTCTCTGAAAAAAATTGTATGGAACAAGTCTGATAAATCTTAAGCCAGATTACATGGTTGGAGTTGGACATGTGAAAGTGAGTTACCGGAACAGTATTCCAGGCTTTGGAAAATCAGGGTAGCTAGAAATGTGATTTTTCAAATAGCTAATTTTTTCCTCAATGCTCTTGCCACCAACATTGTCAGAGTTGCTTCCCATTGTTCGATTGTTTGACTCGGATAATCCGAAATTATAACTAATTATGGCAAGAGGAAGGAGTCTTCGATTTCTACAGATATAAATCTATATAAGCTATCGATACAAGCTATTATATAAGTTAAATACTATTTGCACCTTGTATTATAAGTTACGAGAGCAAATAAATTGTTAATGAATGGTAGTTTACCTTAATATAGTATTAAATGCAGTAGTAGCCAGTTTTAATCGTGAGTGACGAAAGGTTTAATTGAGCAGCCGAGACAATCAAGATAATTATTGAGTGGACAAAAAATTAACATGTTAATAATACTGACATCGTGGATTGAGGATTCTGACTCCTGAGACATGTCACGTACATGTGTAGTATAGTCACACAACCCACGTGCTTTGCTTTGCTCCAGTTTCTTGTGTCCAAATAAATCGATACTATAAATCTGCAAAAAATGACTCTTTAAATTGCATAGGTTTGAAGCATAGATCATGTATTTTAAGGTTTGAAGAAACAACATCACTGAAATGCGGGATTAAGCTCATTGCATTGGTTGAAGTAAACAAAAAGGAAATTCTCATCTCATCTCAGACTCTACAGACTCTACTTCTGTTTTACTCAGTAAGTTAAATTAACAATTAAAATTAAAAACACAAGTAATTGAATTATTTCATTTAAAAAGTATTTAAAGGATGACTGTTGGTGGAGGAAACGTGACAAGGAGCAAATGTCGGACGTGCGGGGAAAAATTAATGGACACGGGTAATTTCCAAATCAAAATTGTGAAAGCGAAACCTATTCCAATAAAAATAAGAAAGTTGGTCAAGTCTGGAAAACTGGACGAAAGCAAAAAAGATATTCTGAAACAGACAAAGTTTGGACGGTTTCTTCTCAAACGAGTGGATCAAGCAAGTAACGCTGTCGTATGTTATCAAATATTATTGTCGTAAAATCTGGTTGGGTGATATTGATGCAGAAATAATTTTTTTTTATTTTTATAGGAAATCACTTGTGGTCAGTGCTCATCATCTTGCCAGATTGTTACAAAGAAGCCAAGGAGAATGTTTCCTCAGAGCCTAAACAGTTTCCCAGCCGTTCTTAATTCTTCCGATATTACAAGTTCTCCGTCATCATTTCATTCGGCAGTGTCCAAACGACGAAAGAGGCGAAATAAGGAGGTAAATGCTGGTCTATTCATCCCCACACCAAACTCAATGGATACGACTGAGGTGAATAACTCCCCATCCATTTACGAGTTCAAGTCGGATACCCCCCAAAATTCGAATTCAAACCACAATAAATCAGTTCCACCCTTGTCCAAACCAGTTGTAAGCAAGGAAAAAGAGATGGACAATTTGAGAAAAGTATTATTCAAGTCTAAAAAGAAAGGGCAACAAGAAACAGCTAAAACGAGTCTGAAAGATTTTCTTTCTTCTATGTGACAATGTAGAGAATTTAAGTAATAAAACGTATAAAATAAGGTTATTATTTTTTGTTAGTGTGAATATAAGTGCATATAAAATAAGACTTGTCATGTTTATGTATAACGGTGCTGCATATGTACTATGCAAAAAAACTTAGGACTAATTGGAATGTCTAAGTAAACAATTGCCACCTAATTTCATTAATCAATTGAATAATTTATGATCCTGCAACATTGACTTTGGCACCACCTTAATCGGCTACAACACATTTTCATAAAAATAAAATGCAAATTTTTAAATCCCTCCGTAATAATAAGGCAAGTCATATGGAGGTCAGTCAACCACACCCTCCATCAAGTATTGGTCACCATCTGAGGCCAATTCTTGCAGTTTTACGATTTATGGGGTCACAACCATATTCTGTGGAGAAAACAGATGGCGGAATATTTCGATATGGCTGTAAGTGGAGATCATTGGCTTTTTTCCATACGCTTTTTGGCGTAGTCGTGTTCCACACCCTTTTAACTTTATGGATAGTTCGGTACACTGAAGCCATGAGTGAGACCAGTGTCGTCTCGTAAGTTGTGTCCATTTACTAAACATGATATGCCTTTTTCAAAAATGTATTACATATTCAGGACTTTCAATATTTCTTCCGTGGAAAAATTCTGTCTCAACATATTTCCTATGATCCACCCCTGTATGAGCTGGATTTTTCTGATGAGCTCCATTCTCAGCACACCCACTAGTATCCAAGTGGTCAACGAGTGGGAGGTTTTTGAGTCAATGTTTAAGAAGGCATTTCCGTCCGCCAACCCCCCGTTTCACAGGACGGTCGTAATCAACAGACTCTGGAGATTCTTGGGGTTCTTGATGACAATTCTTATGGTGGTTAAAACCAGCAACATTAGCGGTTCGAGTTGTAAATTCTTGGAACGCATTCCTGTTAACAAAGACATCCGGCTCATAATTTGCACAGCATTTGGAAACTTTACTTTCTTCACTGCTACACACTCGTTCTTTGAGGACGCCAAGTTTATAATTATGTTGACTGCCATCTCCGTAGCATTGCGACAGGTTTGTCTCAAGACTTTACAGAACTTAAAGTTAATAAAGAGTCTGTCCTTAATACATATTTCTGTGATTTTCAAATTCAGATGCTTCTTCAAATCAAAATGGAATACGCATCATCAAATAGTAGAGATTTTGAACGACTGCTAGTTGGCAATAATAAGCCATTTCTTATGGTGAAGAGGTGGAGCGATCTTATTTTACAGGTCCGTAAACAGATGCGGTTGACGGGTCGAGCCATGTCCTTTGGTCACTTGCCGTGCCTCCTCGTCATGTTCGGAACCCTGTGCTTGTCTCTCTTTATGGGGGCCATGATGAACTTTTTTCGGGCTGGGTCTCCGATTCCAGCTGTGACAGAGTTGACCAACAAGGCAACCATGCTCTGCTGGATTTGGGGAGTCAAGTTAATCGTGAAGGCCAGGATTGCTGAGACAATTACGAAATTGGTGAGACTTGCAACTTTGCAGAAAAGGATCATCAAATCTGCTCAACCAGTCGCTACTTATTAATTAATTATGCATATGTTAAATTATGTATGTGTGTTTCTGTGTGTAGGAGCGAGAAATTTGCAAGGAGCTACGATTGATGAAAAACTTCAGTCATGACAAAATGGCTCGGCTGGAGGCATGCATTTACTTAATACACATACCTTCATAGTCTACATGAATATGTACATTCATATGCAATATCAAATTGTAGATGAGCATCCTTATAAATTTTTTGGACCGCGATCCTGGCAAAATTGATTTCGGAGGAATTTTGACTTTAAACTCTGCTCTCATGTTAAGCGTATGGTGCATAATCTAATATTACGTTAAGTAATATCCAGGGCACAATGTGTGCAAATAATTTTAATATATGTATGTTTTACTACAGATCACTGGACAAGTAGCAACCTACCTCGTCGTCCTATTTCAGTTTTACAACATGGATTCAACAGCCCCATGAATACACAATCCATAAGTTAGAGCTGCTGCATGAGCCAGCTACAGAAATACAAATGTAATAAATTTCTCAATTACACTTGCATGAATAAACTTGACACTTTTTCTTTTGAGAATTTAATTTAAGCCGACCCTGTCGAAATATCAGCCACATTATTCAGTAAAAAAAAGTGATACAATAGTTAGTGACGCTGCTACAGATCATTCAGCTAATCTACACATAAGCGGATGACAAAATAAGCTTCAATTAAGCAATTAAGAACCGAGAGGATATTCTTCATTCTAATCCTAAATATAAGAAGTTTTTTGGTTGGTGCATGGTGCTGATGACGAAGACCACAATTTGCAGACTCCAGAGGAATCAAGAATTATGAAGAGATCAGTCTCGGAATATTCAGTGCAGAGTTGATCATGTCCTCAAAATATGCCAAAGTGCAAACCTTTTTGAAACAGAATGGTTTGTTGGTAGGAAATGTAGCAGGTGCGATTGTGGGGCTGATATGTGGTACGTGTTGCCTTAATTCTAAATTTCAACTCTGCCACCGTCCCCCCCTGTTGACTGTGTTTCTTTTTAAATTGGTTTGCAGGGTTCATAATTAAGCAGTTGGACCCATCGCCAGTCACCCGAGACTTGGTGGCATACCCAGGAGAGATTGTAATACGGGGTCTCCAACTCTTAGTTTTACCCGTGGTTTTCTGCAGCCTCGTTTCTGGTGCAATTTCTTATCTTCATGATAGTCATTAGCTGTCTACTAAAAATATATGTTGCAAAATGGCTGTAAAATGTATTTAGGATCCGCGAGTCTCAACGTGAAGGCGAATGGAAAGCTCGCAGCTCGAACTTTCTCATATTTCCTGGTCACCTCTCTTTTCAACGCCGTGATGGGAATCTTCCTCGCCATCATTATCCATCCGGGGGGATCTGCCATTAGGAGCGAACTGCAGAGCTACTCCACCGTTGGGGTCATAGAAGAAAGAGAAAACACCCTGTTGGACAACTTTCTAGACCTGGGCAGAAATTTTGTGCCGTCCAATATTATTTCTGCATTTTTTGAACAAGTCAGTTGGTCAAACTTTGATGATGATTTACTGCAAAGGGTTCAATTTTGATAACATTTTCATCATTTTGTCCTAGACTACGACGCTATACACTCCAAAGCCAGGTGGGGTTGATGCTTTCACCAAAACCTTGGTGCCCAGGTAAACATACTTTTCTAGCTTATTTTACGACAATTAGTACGCACACGATTCCACTAATTTTTAAAGTTCGAATTATACGTACGTATTTTATAGGCGTGGATGGAATGCCCTTGGCGTAATATTTTACGCTCTCATCCTCGGAAGTGTCATGTCCACTCTCGAAGAGAAAGCCAAACCTCTACTGCAAATTTTCTCTGCCTTTGACACTGTAAACATGAAAATGATCACCACGTTCATTTGGTAAGTGTAACATTAACCTTTCTATAGCTCAATCCTTGGTAAAGTTGGCAGTAGTTGGCACCCAGAACGGTTAATTTTCTATGAATATTTTCACATGTGCAGGGCCACCCCCGTCGGTGTGGCAAGTTTGATTTGTTCCAAGGTTCTCGAAGTATCCGACATTGGAGCGCTGTTCACTTCCCTTTTGACCTTCATCTTCACTGTCGCAATTGGATTGGCACTTTATCAATTCGTTATAATGCAGCTCATTTATTTCATTGTGCTCAAGAAAAATCCTTTCGAGTTTTACTTGTCAGTTTTGCCAGCAGCCATCACAGGCTTTGCTGTGGATTCTTCGTAAGCATATCTGACATGACCATTAATTAGATGACTGCTGAGGTCTGTGTGCATATGGTTCATTCATTACAGGTCGATTGCAATGCCCGTGACGTTGCAATGTTTGGACGAAAAGGCAAAAGTGGACCCACGCGTCTCGCATTTTGTCGTCCCAATCGGGGTCACGGTCAACATGGATGGCACCGCTCTTTTTATCAGCATCGCTTCCATTTTCATTGCACAAATGAACCAGATCGATCTGAGCATTGGATCTTACGTCAACATTTGGTAAACTTGATCTAAGCCTGGCTTCTATATTTTAGTATCACTCTATTTTCATATTTTCCTTGTTTAAAGTATTACAGCCACGCTTGTCAGCATTGCAGCTTCCGGCGTCCCAAGCGCCTCGTTGACTCTGATTTTTATTGTGTTGCACACAATCAACGCTCCAGTTCATGATGTTGGCCTTTTATTGGCGATCGATTGGCTCGTGTAGGTGTTTTTAATTAGTAAACATGTATAATTACATTTATCTAATTGTAATCTATTTCAGAGATCGTCTCAGAACTACAAATAATATTCTTGGCGATTGCTATGCTGCTGCTCTGGTTGAACACTGGTCAAAAGATGAATTGAAGCAAATGGATGATAGGGACGTTCAAAACGGCATTCCAGCAGACTCTCCAAAGTTGAATGATGGGGTGGGATTAGCTTAGGATTAGTTGTTTCAAGATAATTAAGATTAGAAAGTAGCACCAGGATGCAAAACCTACATAATATGAATACGGACCTTAGATTCCTAAGTACCCCTGTTGCTGAATTATGCAAAATTTGAGTGCAATTTTTTGTAATGAATACGAAAATGTATTTTACGGTTTTTATTGCAAGCTACAATTTAAAGCTAATTCAATATATGTATCCTACAACTATGAAAGTTACGCATCCAAAATAAATGCACTGACATAGGTTATACTTGCTAATAAAATAATACACATAATAAATCTTTTCCTAACAATTTTGCAACTCGCCTTGTCAGTCACAAAAAAAGATGGAGACATTTCAATCAGATTGTGATGGTAGCAACAACTTCATGACAAGTAGGCAACATACACATGCATTATTGCATACATACATTATAGACCAATGAAGGTGTCTCCGTTAAACTAATCTAATCATTATTCCTGTGCAAGTGGAATTTCAGCAATAAAAAATTTTCGGATTCCTAAGTTCATAAAATATCGGCGAATTCGAATCAACTCCATCTTGGCCAAAAAAGTAGACCCCGAAGGTTGAAACGCTTTGATAATGTGTTTGTTAAGGAACGAGGAAAATTCTTTCAACTCCGAGATTGGTTCCGAGATAGGTGACAAGGCTACAAGTTTGCTGGTTATGGTATTATCTGGTCCGATCATTTCGTTCGTAATCATTAAGCGGTGAAGTTCTGATGACAGTTGAGCAAGGTCATCTGGAGTCCCAAGTTTTTCAGCCATCTGAGTCATCGTACTTCGCAATGAAACGTCGTTGGCGACCAAATTAAGTTGTTCTTCAATATGCATCGGTTCAATGGAGATGGGAACAGCTGCTTCCTCTTCCAAAGTTCTCGCCGTTGATACAGATTCCTTTCCAATACCCACCACGACAGAGGAATCTCTAAGAAGCATTTTGAATTTGGTGAAGGTCGAAGCAACCTCATGGAAATTCGGTTTTAATTTGACCAACTCGTAAAGTTTTTTCAGCTCCTCCAAATTAAGCTCTGAACCCCCGACTCCTTGTTGTCTAGTTGTTCCAGCAGCAGAGCCACTGGACACAATATCCGCAATTCCTTTCATGAGTCCCGTGAGGCTATTGGTAACTCGAACTCCTTGGCTTATCACTTTATGGGATAGACTAGAAATCATGTAGAACAAGGTCAAGTTGCTCTTGCTCTCGGTATCTGTCGTCATACTTTGGTTAATCGATATGTCAGTCGCCCTGGTCTTACTAATTTTGATCATATCTACAATCCCCGATCCTGGAGAAGGAGAAACAAAATAGTTGGGATGTTGGCGATACTGTTCCAAGTAAGCTTCGATCGCAAGAACAGTTATTGGTGTGAAATGTTCTTCATTCTCGTTAATTCCATCGCCATCGTCATCATCAATTACTGGTGGTAGTGGCCAGGAAAACTTTAAACCAAGGGTTGTAGAATCTCTTAAGTGTCGTTGTATCAACTCCAATAATTGTTTTTGGATGAGAAGGATGTAGCTTGGTTCAAGGTTACACCAGAGACCTTTAATGTGCCAGTAGACACTGTTGAAATCTTCATGAAACAACATTCCTTGAATGAAGTTGAGCACCTTTTCTCCATTCTTTAGAGTTCCTCCACGTTTTCTATCATGGGTGTGGTACTTTATTTTGCATTTATCCAATTTCTTCTTGTAACTATCTTCTGATGTGCCTGGTTCAACATTCGTCAATTCTTCGATTCCTCGGAGGGCATGAATAACTTGAGTCAAGGTTGGTGGAACGCTCTTCCAATGCTTTTGCTGATGTGCTCCATAACATAAGAAAAATTCGCGTCCATTAAAAAAGTCCATAAAATGTTTGTGGGTGAAATCGTAGTTTTGAAGCCTGGCCATGTGACGATTGTCCGCGATTGCAGAGTGAACTTGTGTCGCCAGTTGCAGATCTAGCTCCCTGGCGATTTCAATTTGTACTGGCTGTAGGTATTGGACATGGACAGAGGAATCCTTTTCCTCCTTTCATCCACAGTTACGGTTGGTTGATTTCGGGCGATACGGGAGAGATGATTTAAAATCGCCAGAAAGTCAGACGGACGGAACCGTTTCAAAAACCGGACACCGGCTTGAGATACTGCGACCTTTACGGTCGCAGGGGGACCTTGCTTTTTGGGAGATGTCCTCTGTTTTGGCGCCAATTTTTGAGGCGACTTGTTTGAAGTTGACGATGTACTTGGCTCGTGGACTAACTGCATTTTGTCTTCATTTTGGTTTTCTGGCTCTGGTTCCAACAAAACTTGCGGCCTTTGATTTTCAAAACAATGTAGATTTAGAATGGACGCATTTTCTTCAATACACGTCGTGTACCCGGTGCAAAAAGTGAGCAGATCGAATGGATTGGATTCTTGGATTTGGTTGTGAGTGCGCTTTGACATGAAGTCATTGCCAATAAGTCCTTTCTTCGTCACTTCTACAGTGCCTTTCCTGCTCAGAATCCGCGCAGCTACCTTTCCTGCAAGGAAAATGTGGATGGTAATCGATAATGGATATAAAAATGTATTTTATTTAACTAACCTGGAAACCCAAAGTCTGAACACCATTGAACCACGTTCCATGCTTGGTTCGTGGTCAATACGAAAATTTCGCCCTTCCGGTAGTGAAAAATCAGCGTGTGACAGACTTGGGATGTCACGTCTTTAACACCATACGCCGTCATAAGTGCAGGTCTGCGTGGAATAACTTGGGCAAAAATTTTGATTTTAAATGGGTCCAGGTCCTTTTCTTCTGTACATAAATTGTCGCCCTTCGACATTACTGGAAAATTCTTCACAGTTTTTTCCTCGTATTTTGGGCTGTTTTTATTTTGTTCATTTTGTTTTTTGATGACGTGCTTTATAATATCTTCTTCCGGATGTGTCCGTTCCAAGAACTCTCGGAATTCCCAGTGATTCATCTTGATCTGATGAATACTCACTTCCTGAACATCCTGAACATCATTCACATAATCATCGTCGTCCGAATATTCCTCTTGACTGCTACAGTGTGAACCAGAACAATTTCTTCTCTGCTTCTTGGCTCTGTAATAACAAAACACAAACAGTAAGTAAAGGTGGCTGGCCATTCACGAATTAAATTGTGTACAAATAAATTTACCTTTGCCTTTTCGTTCCTTTTCTGGTTTTCTTCCTCTTTTCACCGACCCCATTTCTCTTAGTAGTCAACATATTCATGTGGGGATCTGGAGCCCTATGTTAAGAAAATATAAGACGTGAAATCAATATAAATTTAACGAGTCACACGATCAAATAATTATGAAGTTTTTAAAATCATACTTCCACGCATCTAACCGACTGAGCTCCACTTCAAACTCGTTAGTGCTTTCATCATCATCATCCGAACTATCTTCTTCCACATCACGGTCGTCAATAAAGTCGTCACTCGTGTCGTATTCATCCTCGTCGTCCGTCATTATCCTTCGTGATATAGCCCGATGCCTACTTTCATAATTGTTGTTTTCACTCTCTTCAGTGCTACTATTGCTGTCCAGATCGCTATCATGACTATACTTGCAATTGCTTCGAAGACTTTCGTCCAGATTGTCCACCGCTAGGCACAAGAGAATATCATCGTCATCATCCATCTCTCCGGTCTCATCCTGAGCAAATGCAGCTTTCACTACGTCGTTGTTCTGTCCATTTAATTTCTCGTTCACACTTATGACAGCTTTGACATTTTCTTTATTGTCCTCGTTATCACTGTCATCACTGTCTATCCGTCGCAACGCCTTGTTTCCATTTCTACTCCTCGACGGAGGATGGATCTCCATTTCACCTGCACAAATAAAATACGAATCGTTTGTAATGATTGATACCAACTACTATAATAATATTATATCGAACAAATAAAAATCCTTACGTCGTTATTATGATTCATAAAACTACTCTTAGTTATTTAGATATAACTACAAACCGCTATATACACATAGCTAACTTACTGTCTTGCGAGCTCGGCAAATCGTCCATGTTCTCATCCTCCATAATTCGAATTATGAATCAGCCCTTTTAAAGTCCTGCAAGTCCCAGATTATGTTTAAATAATAAATTTAAAATGCATAGGTATAAATAGTTATGAATCACAATTTACGATTAATAATTCATTCTATGAGAAAGCTTGTTAATATAATACCCAACTCTTGGCAGCAGTTTGCAGTTAGCAAATCGTCAGAGGAAGGCGATTATCTTGTTGGTGCGACCAACGTCAGACGATTATCGTCTGAAAATCGACAAGGCAGAGAAAGCCATGAGAAAGCTCCTCTCTTATCCTTACATCTTATCTTAGGCGGCTCTCTCTTCACTAGGATCCGATTACAAAAGAAAGAAACTTTTGGAAAATGTATTTATTCATATGGAAGAAAAATTGCCACTGAATTGTAGTCCATGCGATTAGCTACCCAAATCAGAAAACCGGAAGTCGATATCTCGACTAGTTCCAAAATGAGAACAAAAAATCGGGAACAACTCGCAAAAAAGATTTGCCACTACTACGAAAACGTGTGCGAGCGCGTCCGGATAATGGTTAATAGCCACTTCAAAAGAGCAAAAATTCCTAATGGGGCAATTTGCAGAGTTTTAGATATGTATGAGGAGAGGAGGAATGCTGAATTCAAAAAATAAAAAAATCGTCCTGCTCGTGCAGCGACCCCCAAAGTGATACGAAGACTTCAGCAGGAATGCCAAAATGACCTTGGGATATCAGATGGTAATTTGGGCTACAAATTAAAAATAGCAAAATTAAGTTTACATGACATTAAACATACGAAGTTGGGGGTCAAATCCTATAGGGCGACACTTGCACCAAAGTACAACCAAGGTCAGCAAAAAAGAGCAAAGCCCAACTCTCGGCAGATTGCAGAAAAACGAGTCAAGCAAAACATGTCCGTGATTTTGGTCATGCATGATGAGACCAAGTGCTCGACTGATCCAGATGAAGTCCCTGCGAGGAAGTACTACTCATATACTAATAAGAAAACGTTTAAAGACTCCTTCAAATACACGCCGAAGTCAAAATTCCCCACAAAGCACATAATCGGGCGAGCATTGGACTCATTGGGGGACGTCTCAAAGCCGTCCGTGACCACAGCCACCATGACCTCGGAGAGATATCTGAACGATTGTGTAAAGAAGATCTTGATCCCCTTTATCAATAATCGTAATGTACTTTTCTGACCGGACACAGCAACATTTCATTATTCAAAAGTTGTTCTGGACTACCTGTGGTCGAAAAAAATCGATTTTGTTGCAAAAAAGGAATATGCTCCCTACGTCCCTCGGGCAAGACCAATTGAACGATTTTGGGCATTATGCAGGAGAGAATATAGTCGTCGAACAAAACCACCCAAAAAGTTGGGAAGATTCCGTCACATTTGGACATACACCTCAAAAGTGGTAGCGAGAAAGAGTGGCAAAGCACTTTTGGGGACCGCGAGGCAAATAATTCGCCAGATAGGAAGGATGGGGGTCTACGGACCATATGAAGCAAAAAATTGAACGATAAGGACCTTGTTCTTAACCCCTAAAAATGTCATTGGAATTAATTAAGTTTTTCGGATTTTACAGGCATTTTTCAAAAGTTTCTTTCTTTTGTAATCGGATCCTACTTCGATTCGAGTAAAACGTTCAGAAACCCGCTTGCCATACTCAAATAATCAGATCAACAAAGGAATGTGGGGCAATTGCATCATTTTGCATGACATGACAAGTTAAATGCTGAACTTGTCCCATTTCGTTGTTCTCAAATTGTTGAGAACAACCAAGTTGAGGCAAGTTGGTACAAAATTTACAAGCTCCTTTGGCTGCCCTGCGCCCTGGTTCCATGAATCAATAGACATCATCTTATGAAGAGCAATATTATGGACGAAATGCTATGGTAAAAAGCCCCCAAAGTTAGCAAGGTCGTAGTCTTGAAATATATAAATATATACTACTGGAGTATCTCCCAACATCGTATTTATAATGTGCAACATTATTAACCCACGTATATGATGATAAGCGCAATTTTTTCCCCAGAGATCGAATCAATCATCATTGGGGTTGATTAATGATTTATGAATTTGACTTTATTACAATAACTCGAAATATATTTATATAAGTATGCCAAACGTCACCAACATGTGTTGAATTTATAAATGAGAATCCTAACCAACTTGTACAATTATTACTAAATGCATTATTTGTTATCTACCCTATCAGAATTATAATTCAATCAATCATTAAATTTACACCTATGTATCATTTTTCACTTACACAAATGTAATCAATATCAGTCAACATTCCTTCCGTTACATAACCATCTTTTGTTCATAAATAAGCACACGAAGGTAATTTATTTTTAACTCGTATTATGCCCAGTCGTGTTTCCACTACAGCTTTGTATGCATAAAATGAATAGCAACGCCTTGTTTGTGGTGTTGGTGGTGGCCGTTGGAGTGGGTGCGGTTGCTCTCCCCCACAGCCGACAATCTTCCCCGGGAAAGGTTTTTCTCTTTGGAGGAGCCACGGAGGATACATCCGCCAACATATACGACGCCTTGAGGAACGCCACGGGCAAACCGTCCCCCAATATCGTGGTCGCCATCACCGCAGCCAGTGAGTAACCCTCTGCACTTAAAGGTTTATTTAATTGTACAGAAATGACGTTGGTGAAATATGGTTACAGGCTCCTTAGCCATCGGGTTGGAGGCATACTACATTGACGACCCAGGGTCTTGGAGCTATGAGCGTCTCTTCACCTTCTATGGCTTCCAACCGTCAGTGCTCCAACTGGCGAGAGACAATTGGGAGGAGGGTGCCTCTAATTCGACGTCCTTAGGCCAGGCCAACATTCGACTGGTCGAGGCGGCTGATGTGTAATGCAAGAAAATCAGTATACATTTTTACCTTGTAAAAAGGCCTATTAGTCGGAGGAAAAACCATTTCTCTCGAGCAAAACAACACTTATTTTCTTATCTCTCAAAATACAGCATCTTTTTCAACGGAGGGGACCAGTCTCGTCATTCTCGCTCTTGGTTCAACACAGATGGATCGGATTCAGATATTTTGGGAGTGGTGAGGAGACGTTTTTTGGACGGGGCCATCGTTGCCGGAACGTCAGCGGGGGCAGCCATAATGAGCAAGCGGACGTATGGGGAAGGCTACTCCTATGGCTACTTCTACTTCAATGCCGACCTCAAGGAGTGCGACATTGGAGAAACGCTGCAAGATGACAGAGATGGAACCAATTCCTTCCGTTACAGCGATAACGGTGGACACATGCAAGGTTTTGGCTTTGTCCAGGAGGCTCTGGTGGACACTCAGTGAGTTTTGTTGGACATACGACGGCCTACATATGACCACAATAATGTAATCTTACGAATATCACCCATTTTACAGTGTTGACGCTCGCGGCCGCTTTGGACGACTCCCTGCAGCAATGCGGTCAACTCTGACGCCGTATGGCATTGGTGTTGGCGAGGACACAGCGCTGTACATAAATGGCGAGGAGGCCGTGGTGCTGGGTAATGATGGAGTGTGGTGGGTGGACAGCTCAGAGGCGCAGTTCGGCATAGGACCATATTTTACAGTGACGGGTCTTCTCGTATCATATTTGACGGAGGGAGACAGACTCAATTTGGCAACGAAAGAGGTACGCATTGCGTTTAACTTAATACATTCACTAAACGGTCAAGTTAATTATTATAATTTAGGTAATTTCTACGAAACCACTCATCACAACGAACGAGGGTGTTGCATACGACAGCAGGGACGTGTTTACTGGACGAGAGGGGATCCGTTCCATTACGACTCTGGTCACCTCCAACTCGACGAGGTCCACGGGACGTTCCAAAGAACGCAACCCCACCGCCAACGTCGTTTTTCATCGTGGTCAGGGCGAGTTGGCGTACACAATGGACGGGAAATTTACAGTGGACAAGCTCCATATGGATATTTACTCAATTTAGATTACATTATGCCTGGAAATTCATGGCACACAAAATAAATTAACATATTTAGTAGGCAGAAGGAATGCTTGATTTATTTTCATAAAACTGGGATGAATTTGGTGCATTTAAAAACGAAACACGACTTGATTTAAGATTTTATTAGTGTTTTATTTTGATTTTCAACATTTTAAATCGTATGAATGGTGCATATGTGCGCCCAAATAAATTAAGTGGTTAAGACGAGCGATATAACTGTACATGCTTAACTCAGTTAAAATGACTCCTCCAGCGGGAGAGTAATAAAATATTCTTAACATTAAATGCGTGCTATTTACACTTTATAACGTAGACGGGTCACGTCACGATGGTCTGGCCACGGACATCTCCTCCCACTTCCCTTCCTCCCCAGGTACAACTTGGTCCTGATGGAGGGAGAACTCGTCCCAAGAATCGAGATGGACAAAAGCTTGCTGCAGATCTTCTGCGGAGAGATCTTGAGAGGGCAATAAAACTTGACCTTCAAATTGGGCGAAGGCTTCAGGATCTACACAAAAACAAATTATTAGTTACTATGTACTGATTACGTAATTTTGAATAGAAGTGGATAGAAAACTTACGTTGAGTGGTGGGGGGAAGATTCTGAGATGGTTGTGGTCCAGCTAATTGCTCGTGATGAGGAATTGGGTGGAAAAAGCTGTCGGGATCCTCAAATCCTTCGCCTTCCTCCCCCGAAAACTCATCTCCGTCATCGTCATAGTCGACGTCGAGGCGATCCCCTGGCTCGGCTTGGTCCACGGCTTGGATGAGATCCCCCAAGTCCCCCAAGTCTTCCATCCACAATGAAGGATCCATTGCGCACTTATTAACACTAACACCACAACTTGTGTGCACCAGAATAACTGGATAACGTAGGTTGATAACACTTGGTCGGCTACGCCGTAAAAGTTTATAATTGTTTTCAAAAGTTTTTCTTCTTCAGAGTTTTTAATCACTTGTGAACAGTTTTTATCGGTTGGCAGGCTTGACTCGCTTTGATTCTCCACACGACAAATGGCCCCTGATTATAAAGCCCAAGGTTTATAAGTAGTTTAATACCATCATCCCATCAACATTTCCCAGTAATGCATAATAATGCCGCAAGTATTATAATGCTGCGAAAAAGTAAATTTTACATACCTATGAAGTATGACCATTTGTACGGCACGAAGTTTGATCCAGATAAGGAATACGAGACATTTGGAGTTAAACAATCTTTCTGCAGACCATGATCACCTTGTGGGGCTATCCCCTGGTGACTATGCTCCGAAACAGCTAACTGATTACTCCTGCTCGAATCCAACATTCCAATCATACAGTTTTTTCCTTCTTTGTTCGAAAAAGTTTCTGAACAAAATAAACCGGCATAAAAATGGGTACATTTTTCGGCCAAAGGTGAATTGGAATGAATGCGAAATTGTGCTTACGGGTTCCTTCGAACTTGATCAACTCTTGGTTATCCACATCGGAGCAATCGTTACTCCGTTGCAAAATTGTAGAATTAAATTGGATTGTTAAATAATTAAAGATAGTATTAATGCATTTAATCGAAAAGTGAGTCGTCCGTGCGGGTGGACGCGCTAATGTGGTAGTAGTCCACACCTGAATAGAGCAGAAATACCAGTTAAATACGTTTAGCTAGTTTGCTAACGTTTGCTATTTCGTGAAGAGTATTGACACATGTATTAAAATAACTAACGTAGGTGCGTCGTGGTGAGTCCGAGTCTTGATTAATTGGTTGAGGTTGACCGGCAGGAAGAGTTTCCGAGTACGGTGGGGCCTTCATCAAGTGACCCGTCTGCTCTCGTGCAACAGATCGAATCTGCATCAAGGTCAACATCTTTAAAATATAAACTGAGTTTTACCACCATTCCCAAAATAGTTAAGAACCACTTCACACTTACCATAGTCATGTAGTTTTAAAAGCCTGGGCTACTTTCTGTTCATGGTCCAGAAAATGCTAGTTAGTCGGTTCAGACTAAATAGAACAATTTTGAATTCTGATTTTTCAATCCTTAAAAAACAGAACTTGAATGTGATACGAGTAGTAGTTGAGTAAGCCTGGTCTGGCTGGACGTCAAAAAGTGTAATGGGCAAACAAATTCGCCAAGAATTGCACTCAACTTGCTTGGGAAAACGTTTTGCTTTTTGCAAGAGCCGTGTGCAAAATTGGTAGGTACATGACACCGTCACGCGAGTAACATGCAATGTAGATAGTTGGTGCTTAGATATTTGGCACCGAGTTAGATTGAGTCGTGTTGGGTGTATTGCAAATATGGAAAGAAGATTACATACTAAATAACAACTCTTTACTCGTATGCATAATACAAAATGTGGTGGTATAATGAATTATGTGTGGTTGCATATAGATCTACCATATTTATTTAATTATTTCATGAGAGATCGATGCGAGCATGTCCGACATTAGTTGCATTGTGAGATCGGTTCGGTGCAGCTCGCGAGGTGTTTGCAGATATCTAATCCTTGCTTTCCTAGTTGTTTATCATTACCACAGGTCAGTTGTAGAGGTTAGGAAAACGTTTTTAATCTCTGCCCATATTTGCATCAGTTATGGGATGGGTGGTGGGATGACATCCTTTCTTTTGCACGGAGTACGGAGTGGGCAATATCTTGGGTATTAGACCAGTGCTTATGAAAGCTACATAGTAGCTACATGTTATATTTGTGGTTAGCTATGGGATTTTAGTTTCACATCTCGAGTCGAGATTCTCGACACATTCATTCATGAAATTCAATGAAGGAATACAAGTCACATACTGAGTCACTTTTATTATTTGTAACGTCACCAGCAGCCTACAAATGATGGGAGGATTCAGTAAACTTGACACTCCGGGGCTGGGTCGCTCCCTCGCAGTGATGAGCTTGTTGCAATTGGGCCTCGTAGTCGAACTGTCGCCCAGGCTCATATTTGTTGGCGTTGCTGACATATGGGTTGCCACCTTTTCCAAATTCCAGTGCTGGAGGAAAAGGCCGGAGATTAGTGGGCTGCCAAACCTCATGACCTGTTTTGCGATCCTCTGATGAGGTCCACTCGTAACATCGTTCCCCATGCTCAGCCAAGTCTGGGCCCACCCTTTCTGCCCCCTCCGACATGCGCACCCTCATCCCAGGAATAATGTTGATGAGCAGGAGGAGCAATAATGTCATGACAAAGCTCCAACAAAACCCTGCAACAGTATCCGCCAACTGTTTCCACTGCATAAAATAATTATTTCTGTGGACATGATCCAATTTCCAGCATGCTTTATATTTCTGTATGTTGTACTTACGCACTGATCCCAGTTTCCATCGAGCCCCCCTCCGTCCGGTGCTCCTAACCTCTTCTCTGCAAACACACCCGTCATGAGATTCCCCACAATCCCACCCACTCCATGATTCCCAAAGACTTCCAGGGCATCGTCGCAGCAGAATTTCTGCACCAGCCGCACCGCAACGTGACACACCGTCGCTCCAACGACACCAAACAGCAAACTAAATATTCCAAGCAGAGAGTTAGACAAAAATGTTGCTTATTACGTTTGAAATTTCAACGATCCATTGAGGAATTAGATTCTCACTGACCTGGAGGCTGGGCTGACAAAACCTGCAGCTGGAGTGATCGCCACGAGCCCTGCCACGGCCCCTGAACAAAGGCCAAGTCCCGAGTAGGTGCGCGTACGACAATAGCTGAGCAGCAGCCCAGTCACGGCCCCCGCACAGGCCGACAGGTGAGTGGCCAGGGTGGCTGCGACCGCTTGGCTGGAAGCTGACAGGGCCGAACCTCCATTGAACCCAAACCAACCCACCCACAGCAGAGTTGTCCCCAGAAGGACATGGCTCATGCTATGCGGGATGGGGTGACCCTTCTGGTTGCGTTTCCCAAGCACGAGAGCATATGCAAGAGCAGCCGCCCCGCTGGAAATGTGAACAGGCGTCCCTCCAGCAAAGTCAAGGCCTCCGAGAACGGCGCCCCAACTTTATAATGCCAAAAGACAAAATTAGTTGCTAGTAATTATGCACTGCTTTGTTAATAAGGTGTTCGAGATACCCGTGTGGGTTCCAGGCCCAATACGCGAGAGGATCGTAAATCAGCGTGGTCCAAAGCGGGATGAAGATCGTGGCTGGGAGGAAGCGGAATCTTGAAATTTTTGAAATCTTTAATCAGTAACAAAAGTATTGGAGAAATAGTAATTCGAACCTCTCCGCAGCCGCTCCAAAAATGAGTGCTGGCGTAATGGCTGCAAACATGGCTTGATAGAGGACAAAGAGCTGGCCGGGCAAATGCGGAGCAACGGGGGCCGGGTGCACTCCGAATAGAAAAAGGTGATCAAAATTCCCGATGAACGCGGACCCCCCAGCACTGAACGTTAGGGAGTAGCCAATCAGAAACCACTGCAACCACGAAAGATTATCATTTGTTACATGTTTCACCTCAATACCGTTTGCGACCATTTGTCACTTTATGCCTTCACGACCTTCCTCACCTGCAGTGAGACGAGGGCGACTGACCAAAACGAGATGAGAATAAGTGACAAAGCACTCATCGCGCGGGTGAGACCGGAATAGAAAAATCCTACTCCAGGGATCATGAGGAGCACGAGAGCACTGGAGACGAGGACAAAGGTCACGTCGCCCTGTTCAAACAACTCGTCCTCGTCACCACCCCCCGTCGTGGTTGATGCTTCGGTGCTAGTCGTGCGAATCATCCAATGAGGACTCTCCCAGATAACCGATTTTGACCCTTGGGGCCCCACTACACGTTTGGGGGGAGTTTGTGCCACTCCGAAAATAGGCGTCCATCCCGACATCATGCTGCCAAGTCTGTGTTCCTGGTAATCAGCAAAATAGCTGGTTTCAAAGCAACCTATGGCACCGAGTTTAGTGACCTCATGCATAAAGCGATCCGTGCGTGACCGACTTTGTAAATACGTGCATAGTTTCACCATCGTGAACATCAGTCTCGTGTGATCAGTAGAACGAGGAAATTACTGCAAAATTGTGCCAGTCGTTAATTTTAACCACTTTCACTCTCATTTCAGCCTTTCATCTTTGGTCCACATTTTTCACCTTCCAGTCCTCCTCGGCGACAACTTACAATAGGGACAAATTTGAGTACATATGTAATTTACGTATCTGCGGCGCACAGACAGAAGAACCCTGTTGCACATGGAACATGTCCCGTCGAAATTGGTTCGAGTCGAAGTTATTGACTTCATTACAGGATTGGTTGTTTGACTAGTGCGGGCCAGCCGTCTGTCCAAATAGAACTAATTGACCTGCCACGTCCCTACTCACCTGTCTCTCTCCCAGTTGTCACCTCATTAATTTAGATGGAAAGCACACTTCATAATGTCGCTTACACTCGAGAATTGCACCACCGTCCACTCTCAGAATGTGCACGTTACATGTGTATGCATTATCTATGCAAGAATCTATATATGACAAATACAAAGATGGCACAAATTGGCAAATATTTCCCTCAGGAGTCTCTTGGCTGAATAACAACATTATGTCACCTTCAAACTATTGAGCTAATTCCAATGATGTATGTTCCTAGATTGAAGAGGAACCACGTACACATGCATTCTAATTCAACCTTTGCCTCTGAATGTAGGTGCTTATCATAATCTGTTCATAATGATGAACAGCATTTCGGGGGGAGTGGTCCTGTTGGTTGGGCTGAATCTGGCCACCGTGGTGAACCCCAGCCATCAGCAGAATGGTGAGTGGACAGTGGAGAGCCGACAATATATCTTCAAACTACTCCGGAGCATCCATCCGTGTGACATGGACCTCATCTTCGTGGCGCCAGAAGGTTAATACTCGTTCCCAGAAAAACCAAACGTTTTTATAGCAATTTATGCCGTGACCTTCTGCTTGCGCATTTCAGACTTGGGTCCAGAGGGCTGTCCCTGCTACCTGAGGACGTTCGGCATTGCTTTCGTCTCTAGTCGCACCTTCCTCAACTTCAATCTCTCCTACTTATTCGATCACCACCGACGTTCGAGATGCGTCGCAGTCCTCCCTCATCATACAGACGAGGGCCACCAAAACTTTCACCAGATTGTGAACAAGGCAAGTAAAACTTTTTTTGAGAAATGTGGGTTGTTCTAAAACAAGGCAAGTCTACATAGGTGAATGATGAGCTCAGCCAGGCTCAACAACAGAGCAGAAATAATGCAGTGCTGAAACTGACGCTGCTTTTCATCTACCCAATCCTGCTGGCGAAAAAGGACACGATGGACCAGCGAATGCGTTTGGAGACTCTTTTTCGTGACACCACAAGCTTTCTCATCAACTCGGACGTGTACATAATTTTTGCGAGCGGTGGTGGTGGGGGAAACCACGTGGTCAAGGCCTCTGTTTGGGAAACTTACTCCATCAAGAAGTTCCACTTTTTCCGGAGCCTCCCCCTCCCACGCTCCTTCCAGGCACAGGTCGGTCAAATTCATGGCGACGGGGACGAGGTCAAGTTCTTCCACTACTACGACGACCTGGGGAACAAGGTCGTACGACGGAGTGATTTCATGGGAATCACGATGGTGGCTTCCGCTAAGGTGTAATAATTCAGTAACAATAAGCCTCATATAACGTAACTTGGCGAAACGTGTAGGAGGACAATAGCGGGTGGGCCATCGTGAGGCGAGTGAATGGTAAGCTTTTGCTGGTTGGAGGCACTTCAGCCGTGTGGTACTGGGACCTCGCCACCATGTTCAACTTTTCGTAAGTACATTATGATGCATAATACGTGCATTGTCTGGTAACTGAAACCCGTTGTCGGTGCAACGATGTGCTAACTACTATCTTAAACTTATTGGGCGATTAGGCTGGAAATCATATACGGCGATAGCATCATTACTCTTCGGAACAATAGTTTAGCTGGGAAAACCCTGGAGCAGCTGAACAGAGGGGAAGCCGACCTGACCCTGATGACCGCCTTGGTCGTCGACTTTCGAGCAAAAAGTCTGACCTTTCTCCAGCCCTTCTATTCCACGCTGTAAAAAAGAATCTCCAAAACTCCGTATATTAATTCTTGTCTAAAGTTTGAACCTTTTCCCCAGAATTTACGTTTTCTTCAGTCAACCATCGGCCAATTCCATCCGGAATATTGTCACTGCTCCGTTCAATCTCTGGTTGTGGGTCACCATTATCTCGACCTGGGTTGTTCTTATTCTCACCGTTAAACTAGGACAGTGGTTCCACGCCAGCTCCACCCATGGTGCGGATGGCCAAAAGGATGCCGATTTCGCAGCCACGATCGGCCTTTGGGCGATTGCGGCGAATTGTCAAAAATGTAAGTTACACTAATTTACACAAGCGGGACCCATGTTTACTAGTTGTGACAAAGAATTTTACTGAACAGCTTGGAATGCCGTGCCTGGCTCGTGGGCGTTAAAGCTGATTTTTATCTGCGGGTCTTTGTGTGGCGTGATGGTGTTTGGAGCCTACTCGGCCGCCATCGTGTCCACCCTTGCCGTTCACTCCATTCCTGTCGAAAGTTTCGTGGATCTCATCAACTTTAAGTTTGCATTCACGGTTCACAACAGGAGTGAACCCTTCCAGCTCATCCTCAAGGTTTGTCGCTTCCCAAACTGCAGAATAAGTGCCAAACAGTGTATGAATCAATTTTTGCTTGATTTTTTCTACATCCAGCACCTCATTCAGTTGTGGGGGCTGAAGCAGGAAGTGCTCCGGGTTGAGACGGAGGCGGAAATAAGTCACCTTCTGGAAGCCCAAAAACCGAAAGCCTTTCTCTCCTACCAGGACCTTTTCTATCAGACTGCAATCAGTCTGGGCTACAGCGAGCAGTTTGTGTGCAACGTCCTGTCCAAGGTCCAGGTCTCCGACTTTCGCTACAAGAATGCCATGTTTCTCAAAAAGGGGTCCGAGTACACGGAAATCCTTAATCACAAGTCAGTATTAATCAAGGTTGAGTATTATGAGAAAATTGTCTTCTTTGTGAGTACGTAGGGTTTTGGTAATTCGTGAACGTGGATTCAACTTCCGCTACATCCGGCACTACGAGCACGGCAATCTGTTTGCCTGCGCCACAGACCGAGAAAAGACGAAGGACTTGGAGCCGCTCAGTTTCTACGACGCCTTTACCGCTTTCCTCGTCGTCTTCATCGGCTACGTGGTGTCACTAGTTCTCCTGCTCCTGGAGCGCCTGCATGTACTGTCGACACTTGGTGCCTCTCGAGACCAGGGAGGATAATGTGGAGGAAAGAGGTGCAGCGTTTCGTGGCAAGGACTCGAGCAAAAAATGACGCGCGTTCTTCGTGGCAAGAAAAACTCTGAGTTTATTACGAATTTGTTTTCACAATAAATTTTACAGATTTAAGATTTTTAGACACCTCATTTACAGATAAGTAGTTCCGGATCACCTGATGCTAATTTATTCTTTCTCCTTCACCATGTCACCTCATGTTTCCCATGTTGGAAGCCATAATTGTGGCGTCTTGGCCCGGAGGAATGTGATACGACGTGATCTCTTCCCCCCTCTGCGTGTATTGGACACTAGCTGGCTGCATGTGACCCATCGGACCTGCTCCCGTACTCATGTTCGCCACCACGTTGACATTGGACTCCTCCACGGCTGCGGCTGGTTGTAGATCGATCCCCACCATGTTTGCTGCTCCTGGAGGAAATGTCATCGTGGTCACGACCTCTTCTCCGCCTCCCTGTTCCCCAGATTGTCCTCCTGCAAAGGCCATCTCGGAGTTCATGGTTTGCGAGTATGCTCCGGGTGGAGGAGACCCCAGAGTTCGTGCAAAGGCGGCGGGTCCACCTGCGACGATAATGTTACGAGAATAGTCCGCATTTGGAGACTTATTTGACCCAGCGCGGGATTGGTGAGAGCCATGAGAGCCGTGTGGGGACCCAGTGTTGGGAGAGGTACGAGTCGTGGGAGAGTTGGAGTGATGCGTTGTGGGGGAATTCGGGCTCTGTGTCGCGGAAGGGTAGTGGTCTGGAGAGGGGGCTTTAGACGGAGAGCCTGGCTCATCCTCTTGGTCCACAAACTCGAGGATGGTCTCCTCCTCCTTGTGCTTCGAGGATCCGGACTTGGTCGAGGTATCGTTGCTCTGTTTCTTCTTCTTCTTTTTCTTCTTCTCGCCCATCATTTGGTTTTGGAAGAATGGAGGAAACATGCCTCCCATTCCCATGGGTGGGAACATTGGAGGCGGAGGAGGAGGTGGAGGATTTGTAGAACACATTGGGATGCACATGGGAATAATGGAATTTCCGCAGGGATTGTTCATGAAGGGACTCATGCAAGGATTTGGGTTGCATGCCATCGGGTTGCAGAAGTTGAACGGGTTGCACGGATTACACGGATTACATGGGTTGCAAGGGTTGCAGGGATTGAAGCCGTTTGAATTTTGATTTCCATTGAAATTTCCAGAAGAATTGGAATTGGGTTGATTGCAGAAATTGGCATTATTATTGTTGCAGGGGTTGAAACAAGGGTTGCAAGGGTTGAAGCATGGGTTACACGGATCGCATGAATTTGGCATTACGACAGGCTGAATTACAGGTTGAACTACAACTTCCGGTTCTTTGGCTTCTTTTTCCTCCTGAAAGATTTCAAACTCTTGGACCGCGGGTGGGCATGGGCGTTGACGTCGACGCTGGCGTTGTGGTTTATCCTTCGTCTGCTGTGGCGGACGCTGATGATAAATCACTTCCGGAGGTCTTGGTAACACCTCCTGCGGAATGAACATTCGTCGTGTCGAGTCGAAATAATAAACACCCGTTGTGCGTGGCAAAATCTTGTCACAAGATTCTGCAGCTGATGAAGTACTTTCACGTCTTTGAGCCCTGAAAATTGAAATATCTAGATTCATCAAACTGTATGTACGTATTTCGGTATAAATATATATCTGCCGTATACTTTTTATTGAACACGTTGCAACTTTCCTCCATATTTAGTTCTCTTCTATTGCTTGCCCTTGGGGCTTCAAACGGCCAGATCGGACCCTTTTCGAAGTTGTTCATTTTAACTTCATTTTCCTCAAACGTGAATCGTTGGCGTCGGCTGTATTTCACGGGATTTTGTTTCGCCGAGGACTTGTTATCTCGACCTGGGCACTCGCACGGAACATATTCAGGGGCCCCACAACAGTTGCAGACGGAGCAGCAGCAGTACGCATCCCCTTCGTTGTTCGATTGACTTCCGCCTGGGACAAAGTAGCAGAGCTCTTCTTGGACATCCACGTTTCGCAGCCGTTCTGCTGGCATCCGTCCGTGTGCCCTCTCCCGACCGCTGTCTATGAATTGTGGGGGGACAAGACTGCCGGTGTAGCGTGGTTTCAGGGGTGCGAAATCCCTGCGTGGTTGCGATTCTCGGCATGGAGCTCTGTCCTCATTGCAAAGATCTCCGTTCCCATTTGCGAATCGTGCCAGTTTGCCACTCGACGGTTCGGGAGTGCAGCTTGAGGGAGAAAAACTTGGAGGAGGAAGTAAACTGCATCCGGAATACTGGTTGTTGCAGCAGGGACCAAGATTAGTCGGGCCGTAGTTGAACGAGGGTGGAGTGCAACTCAGACGACTGTAAAATGAGGGACATGGGTTGAACGCCATGATAATTTCAACACGAAAATTTGCAGCTGTACGTGAATTTTGATTTTGATTTAGGCCGAATTAATATTAACGTTGTTATAATTCATAATTTTGAAATTAAAAAAAACTAATCGAATCGGTGGAGAAATATTTTGTGAGTTGCATTTAAACAAATGGAGGCAGACTTTTGGTCTTGGAAACAGATTAAACGTTTGGATGTCATTGAGTTTTTCTCGAAAATCTAAAATAAAGGTTGATTCTGAGATGAAATCGAAAGGGACTGATCAAAAGGTATGATCTTGCAAATTTTTAGTCACTTGTGTAACTAACAACTAACCCCATGTGACATTTAAATAAGTTTTATCCAAACCCAATCTGAATAACATACGATTCGACAAGTTGAGTGAAATTGGCCCAAAGTACATAAATGTATAATATTGTGTATAGCCTTAATAAAGCTTATTGATCAATATTATTTGACACTTTATCATTCTATATATGGGGCACCGCCCATAGAAACGATGTCAGTTAATCGTGCTTATTGATTCAGTCTTGCGAATCTATCTTTGCAAGTCAAAGCAATGCAAAAAGAAGAATAAACTTTTGGACAAAAAACCCAGTAACAATTGTTTTGACCTGCTAATCATGCACATGAAGTTCTTGAACTTGAAATGGAATTCCATGACTTAGAGTCAGCAATACTTCACATACGTAAATCGTATAAATATGCACGCATGTACAATAGTGGCCAAGTTGTCTGGATGTTCAGACTGCCCATGATGCAATTAAGCTTCAATGAAAGGAATCTAGTTTCCCATTATTGCAGAGCATCTCGTTCAGATTAACTCGTCGTCGTGCAAGTTGGGTGAGTTGCCTTGATTGATATGAAACCCTATCCTCCTTATCTCCCATATCTGACGAGATTGTGGTTAAAACTAAGTGGACTCGATTTGAGATTGAATCTAAGACACTGGGCAAGGATGTGATGCTGTACTAAATATTGTTGCATATCCAGTAAGAGTTTCACCTTTGCCATTGTCGACTTATGCACCCTGAATTTTGTGGCATGGCGAATACTTTGGCCCGTAATTTAGTGTCAACCTAAGAGCATAAATCACCAGAATGGGAAACATGAGATAAAATATTGCGTTTTCCGATTGACAGACAGTCGTTTCAGTGGTCAGCTTTCTAATTGCTTTTATGCTTCATTAAGTTAGCTATGGGCACATCAAGCAGTATATGTGGCACGATACTGCCGGGTATCTCGATAGGGTGACAAAACATAGTTATCTTACCAACCGTGGTGCAGGCTGCCCTGCACTCCATAATTAATTCGAGTGTAATTCTCAGTCAGTCACCTACAATTCGCCTATATTTTTTGTACACTCGACTTTCTTATCATTCAACAATTAACCAATTGACCAATTATTTTCATTATACGTAAGTTGTCAGCAACAATCTTTGCCAATTTTTGTTGTCGCTCATTCATATATACTGAATAACGAAGGGGTAATCTCTAATTAAGAAATCTTATCAGTTAATTAGCAACTTTAAAGGGAAGAAATTGCCAATTATAAAATAATCCAAGTTGTTTGGGGGCTTCAATCTGTTTCCCCTCGCCTTGCAAATTCAGAATATGACCTTGTTGACATCAAGAAAGAAATTGGAAACTAGATTAATTTATGTCTCCTGCAGCAAAGTAGGAATTCATTCACCACAAAGTCAACATGTCTTTCAGCCATGTCGTCATTTGTTTTTGGTCGATTGTTTCAGCAACGATCCGTTCATCTGCAACAGCCGCTTTTCTAGTCTATTACATATTACGCTCATATGCGCGACTTGAGTGCCACTGAAATTTGGTATGCTTTGTCTTCATTAGATGCTCTCTCTACGCATAAAAGTGCATACCCCTCTGCACCTACCAATAAGAACTACCACCGGTGTACCACCATCATCCCCACTGGTGATCAGCTATTAAATTACGTAATGAAATTCTTTGTTGGGAGTCGAGTGTTTTTATTCCAAATTAAAGTCATGCCAAGCAGTTCGACGGTATGTGCGGTGCTTAATGGAACGTAATGAGAATCAGGAATCATTTCATTCTTGTCTTAATTATTCATGCACGTAGGATACTGTCATGTCGGATAAATGCAAAGATGTTGGTGGCTGATGGTGCTCATGACACGGATTTAATGCAATATTTACTCAAGACTTTAAATTGTTTCTCTCTCTGCGATGATGAGTTGGTTGGTGGCGTGGTTTCATAAAGGAAAATTCCATTATGTGACTGTGTCGTCCTGCTGGAGGAGTTAATTCCTTCCCCCACCACTTTTTTTTATGAAATGCACTCGAGTTCGGTGACTACTTACATGGACAGAAAAAGCGACCAGATTGCATTACAAAACAACTCATTCGACTTAATTACAAGCCGGTGGCGTTTTATGAAAAATTCGTGTCGGTGACAATTAGCGTGCAATATCGGTGGTTCCAGATGCCTGGGGCAAAATGAAATTTCCGACTGTTTTGAATAATTACTATTATACTGAATTGTGTAGAAATCGTTAGAATTATAATAGTCTTTATCGATGGTAAAAGCCCGATGTGAACAGAAAAAAATGAATAGGCGACCTGCAGTTTACGTTTTTGTGGCGAAATTCGATCTACACAGATCAGATCGTGGGCGCTGTGGCCACCAATAATGGGAAACCACAGGCTGTGGTTGTTTCACACGCAAGACTTGAATAATTCCCACAACAATAAGCTGAATGTGTAATTTTGACCACTGAATCTCAAATGAGCACACGATCAAGGGTACAGATCATGAATCTATCTCCGAGGTTGAACAATTGCAGAGGGTGAAAGTCGACGCTCTGCGCGTTGGGCAGTATTTTATTTAGAAGAATAATGACGAAATGTTCTCATTCATGCTTGAGTTTAATCGGGGATTACAGAGCAATCCTTCACGGAGGTTCTGGATTACAATCTGATAACTGACGAAAAACTCTTGTGTTTAATAGATTTGAAGGGGAAATTTGAGACTTGACGACGTCGGTCATTAGTAGTACGGGATCAATCCATCCACTTTAATTCTATAAATAATTTACTTTACCAAAAGGTCATCTACATGCCGCGTACATATATACATATGTACATACTTGTGTGTATGTACATATGTATACTGAACCAAAGCACTATTCGTATACACAACTACGTAGAAATACACGTAAAACATGAGATAAAACCTTGCTTTTAGCGAAACCAATCTCTGCAAATTAGATGAAATGTTGATTTGAAGGCTTTCACATTTGTGTTATGTGCAGATCGTGGATTCAAACCAAACCCTGGAATTTTTAATTGGTTCGGTTCACAACAAATCCTTGCATATTTTTTGTAAATTAACCAGCAGCCAACAAACCGGTTGAACGAAAAGGTTCTTTTCATTCACACATATTTATTAAATAAGCCGCAATTTTACCAGCAAAACAACATTGGGCCTGATACGGCATGAAGTGTACATGAATCTGCCTTCATCAAATTAAATGCCATTAATAAAAGGAGCAAGGAGCATGAATGCCACCAAAGACGGATTGACTGGGTGGAAAGGAGCCGATGGAGCTCGGAAGGATGTGCACTATGTTATTAGCTTATTATTCAACACCACCATCACAAACAACTAATAATCAACATCCAACAATGGATTTTTCCAGACATTAGGCGTGATTCACATGCAGTCATTGTTAGTTTATAGCATTTATTTAGCCATGCAACTCCGGGTTGGTGAAGCGAGTAATTTATTTTTTATTCGAACCACAAAGACCTCCACACACCAAGCATGGAAAAATTATATCCTCCTCCTCGGGTGGAAATGAAGTCGTCTTTTCATCCGGTGAATATGAATCAGTCATTTAAGAAGATATTATCGCTGCCTGGAAAACATATCCACTTCTCGTCCATCGATGCAAGAAAGGGTTTGTGGATAGAGGAATTGGGTGCACAATCAATTCGATAGTGAAAACTGGTCGAGGCTAATTTCACGGAAAATTGTGGTCTTTCTTCGCCACTGAATAGTTTGAAAGTGGGTGGGCGAATGTTGGTTTAATGGTTTCATTTCATTAGGGTTTTGGAACATGGAAGCGTGTAATTAATCCATTCAACGCTCATGCTGCCGGTGTTTGTATGTCATTACAAATATGTAGCATTCACAATATGTATATGCATGATATCCAACTGGATAAGACTCCATGATTGACATGCTCTAACTAAAAATAATAATTCGAGTTAAATCAATAAAGGAAAACGACTTATTTGTAGTAAAATTGTTATTTCCCACAATTAATGTCAAATTAATGTGAACACTCACTAGGGATACCCTTTCTATGATAGTTGAAAAATGAGTTCTAATTTAACTTTTTGCATATACCATGATATGTTTTGATTGCAAAGTGCAAAAATTTTTCTGCAAAACCAATTTGCCAATTTTTTAATAGCCTTCAAAGTTGGCGAAAGTGGGGGTGGAATAGGCGGAGTGGGAGCGTGTGGAGATGGGGGCGGTCGTGCCCCCTACTATACACTAAGCACCTGTGACGGTCATTATGATCTATGTGACGTAAGGAAATCCATCAGTAACTTATGTTTGATAAATTTAGTAACTTATGTTTACCTGAAATTTAATTAAATGTAAGAAAATTGTAATAATTTAAATAATTGATTGATTGATGCTTTAAAAAAAAAAGAAAATTTAGTTAAATGAATGAAAAAAATTGATGCATGTTGATGGCATTGTGCGAAGTGGGAAGATCAGTTTGCCCAGTTTGCGCACCAAATACTTAAATCCTGTTGTTATTTTAGTCATCAGCTCTTTCTCTTTTGTTAAAAATTCTCTGAAAATTGTTCAATTAAGTAATCATATTAGCAATTACCACTCTAAATATGTCGAAAATCATTAAAGTGTGCGAATTATTACTAGAATTAGTAAAACTAAAATATGACACCGCTGGAGTACCTATAATTGACAGTGGTTTAAATCTAAACGACTTAGCAAGTGAAGGACTGATTTTAATCGAAAATTTACTTAATTTTTCAACCAGTACATTTGAAACGCTCGATTCATTGGAAATTGCCAGTGACGATGAAAATTGACATTTACGGTGACAGTGCTGCTCAAACCAACACAACTTCCGAAGAATCGTCATCGGAGGAATGGGATTGAAAGTATCGAACGCAATAATTATAATCTCGAGGAAATGATAAAGATAATGGGGGCACGTACGCCCCCATCTCCACACGCTCCCACTCCGCCTATTCCATCCACACTTTCGCCAACTTTGAAGGCTATTAAAAAATTGGCAAATTGGTTTTGCAGAAAAATTTTTGCACTTTGCAATCAAAACATATCATGGTGCATGCAAAAAGTTAAATTAGAACTCATTTTTCGACTATCATAGAAAAGGTATCCCTAGTCAGACTAATTTTCAAAATCATTTTGATTTATTTCAAATGCCACGCATTATAAACTTGACACGTTAATGTGAATCTCTATATTGTGTAGGTATTGGTAATTTCATTGCATAATATGCTAAATACGTACGAGGAATATGGCTCAACTTATCTTACAACGAGTAATACTGCTTTGCAAGGATGATTCCGGCGATAAAAATAACATGGAACAGACACAATTAATCATTAAAAAGTTAAAAATATGGTTATTACCAAAAATGGAATGGCTCAATGTTACGAATACAAAAAAACAAATAAGAGTTTCAGCAAATATGTCGTCGTTTGTGTATGCAAACACGTTACCGGTAAGTAAGAAAGCTGGGCTGAAATTGTTAGGATTATGATAAAAATATATTCACTGAATGAAAATTTGATCTGTATGTAAATATGTATCATCGGAATGCGGGGCCAAGAAAATTGGACAACTAAGTACTTAATACAACTATGTATTTAAATATGATTGCTGATCCTATGTCTAATGACTGTTTTCTACAATGGTTGAGACATGAATGTTAGTTTAATAGACGTATTTCTAGACAAAACTGCAATTCTACGAGGGTTTTTTATTATCTTTAAGCTGTGAGAATTTTTAAATGTCGAGTAAAAAAGGGAAGAAATCCAAACCTATCTATGTAGATATTTATTAGTCGAAACGAGTGTCTCACATTTAATAATCTTTTGCATGGATCTGATCCAGATGTAGAAGTGAAGATCCTCAATAGTATTTTAGTAAGTAATCTCTCATTTGTATAATCTCGTCCAGCTTACGTAATACATGTGCACAAGAGATGAATCATGTTAAGGGTGACGTCTGGGAAAGATGACGAGGGTGACAGGATGAGTGTCAATTAGCAACATGTCACCTCTCAAATACTGATAATAAATCTGCTGGGATGCATCGATCTGAAATATGTAACACGATGACGACCACTAGCTTCTCTCTTCGTCATCGTATCGTTAAACTGTCAACTTTTGAAATGTGTCCTTCCCCATCGTCTTCAGTTGCAAGCAATTATTTAGAGCGAGCAGGTGAGTGCTAATTATTCATATTCATCCTGTACAACAATTATGTACCTCTTCCATGTGAGATTTTTTTACAACGCGCAATAAAAAATGTTTGCCCACATGATGACGATGGCGAATGAATGACTGATTTCCTATACATTGATGTAATCTACAAAAAAGTGGAATGCATATATAAATTTAATCTATGGAACACAGCAGAGTTAAGTATCTATCTACTACGTGATATGCAAATGTACACAACACACCGAGTTCCTCAGTGTATGATCTACTACTAATTACAATGCCTAAAAGTCTATCTGTATAGATTACGTACATCAGTTCAGGAAATGACAATAAACAAAAGTAATTTCAGGAGGAGATGCCAACCACAAAGGTCATAAAATAAAATAAATATGTCAGAGCCTAAAATATCGCGTCGCCCTCTATTTACAAACGGTTATGTACTCGTCGACAGTGCAGTTTTTGCAGGTAACTTCGCAACACCAAATGAATTGGCACTGACACCTCGTCGTGTAGACTTGGCGGATGGTGTTGTATCCTCGCCCACAGCAGAGGGTACTGCAACTCCCCATTTCTCGTCCCCCCGTCCGATTGCACACACGCCCCGTCGTCCCCGGAATGGAGTGGTCACTGTTGGACTCGCAGTAGGTCGGACTCCTCTCGTAGTACCAAAGGTCAATGTTCCCACTATTCCGCTTGGTCCGATCGCGACGCTTCCTCCGCTGCTTCTTCAGCTTTTGTATCCTGTTCAGAGGTCGGTTCCCCAGTTCGGACTGGTCAATCATCACCGCTCGGCGAAACTTGTTCTTCAATACGGTCCCAACCTGACGAAATTCGGGAGCTGAACGCCAACAAGTTCGCAATTCGCAACTTCCCGACAGGCCATGACATTTACAGCGGACCTCCATGTTCGTGGAAACGGCCTGAAATGATCAAAGACATTCAGAATTTATGTATGAAAACAACAATTACACATGTATTTGCCATTTTCAAGCTTTATTGCTAGAGAATCATCTGCATAAATGTAGTTTAAGCAGATGCATAGGAGCATACTCTTTTATTCCGTAAATGCAAAGCTTGCAACGGCACAAATTGTATGTATGTCGGAAGAAGGGGTTCATCAACCCAGTTAATTAAAGCATTATCTCATTTCACAACACATGGATTCTCAAGGAAGGGATTATTCTTATTGAAATCTCGACCAACACCTCTGGTTGGGAGGCGTCGTAATGAGAGAGTCCTGAGAAAATGAATGACAGGCCGGCGAAAGTTAAGTAGAGGGTGTATATCAACTTTGAAAACTCAATTAACATTTTATTGCCAGAGTGGAGATGAATCTGCTCATCTCCGCTGCTTCCTTGCCTGCCATGCATGTCGGTATTTCCAATCTTTGAGTGTTTAAGGTGAAGTTTTTAAACAACTCAATTTAGCCCACCGCACACGAAAACAATGGGCCGACACTGGAAGACGAAGGGGCTGCTCATCCAGCATCAGTTGCATATGAAAGAAAACAATCGTTGGAGATGATGGAGAGTCGGATCACCCACGATGCGAGGTGAGAAAGCGACGTAAACGGTAGGTACTGGGCGGCGCAGACCTCACTCATCCCACCACCACCACTTCCTCGAACCTCCAACTTTAGACCCACTCACAGCCGAGAGGTGTAATAATTGCACCTAATCGACTCACACTCTGACCTGGACCAAATACATCAATCGCAACACAGGCAATCCCAATTTCGTCATGCATAAGGCCACCACAGCATGTCACCCACGCCACATGTACATGAGTCCTATTTTGTGATCTGGTCCACGTACAATCGAGAGTAAGCAGATGACGTGGGTACCTTTGAATTATTGTACGAGGAGATTTTGTAGAATAGCGAGCAGCAAGAAGACCACAGGCAGCAGGCGCTCTTTGGTTTGTGGGGTAGTTTAAAATAATACAAATTTAATCCATCTAATGACTAATAGTCTTATAATGACAGAGTACGGAAACTCCAGGAATTACGACTTGAGTGAGGTTATGGTTCACACAAACCAAACTAAAAAAGAATGAGATGGACATGGATGCCTCAATTTTTCATGTGCCGAGAAGGAGAACAAGAGTGAAATTAAAATGGGGGATGACTATGATTATTATGGTGATGATGATGTTATTGTAGAAGATCGCTTGGTACATATCTCAAAAGTAGATCAAACTCCGTCACCATCTTCTTGACACAAAACTAATTAAAGTTCTCAAATTTATGAAGCCAGTGACACCGCTGGACATTTCGAGTGACCATGACCGTGACGTAATCGGGATTATGGGAAGTAAATTGAAGATTACAGGGAGGTAGTCGGGCTGATGGAGTCATTTGTGGTCGAATTATCGCAGACCCCACCGAGAGCTTGAGAGGGCGAAACTGATTCACGAGCATAAACAATTCTACTTGGTGTCAGGAGAATTTATCACGATATGGCCTTTGGCAGCCTCATCCATTAGCGTCCAAAATAAGTGCATGTAATGTCCTCGTTCCCATCGTCTGCATTTTTAATTTCTTAAAACGTCATTTTAATTTGTTGCATTTTTGACTATGCTCTTATTTTTTAGTGCTTAAAACCCTGAAATTATAGTCCTTTTGGATACCCACCCCGCAATAAAAGCCTACTCCGAGTCCAATGAGGATCTTTGCATAACAAAAATAAAAGCTTGGGGCGGCCAAATTTCAAGTTATTTGAGGTCCAAGTAAGTACATACATATGTCGAGTTATGTGCGTTTCGGAGGAGAGTGGAATAATTTTGGGGCGTTTGGAGGACCGGGATGATGAAGGTGTCAAGAGAACGAATGGTGTGAAAGTATGTACAATGCAGCAGTCTCTAAATCTCGGGAGTGATTATTAGCCGAGAATGAGGAGTAATAATAATGGAGCTAAATGGAGGTTCTGAAATAGGAAATGATAATTTCGAGCATGAATGGGATGCGGGAGGAGACGTGCTTAAACTCACATTCTATTGTATTAAAGAAACTAATGTGCATTATACTCCGAGTCGTCCTCCCATTGTTGGAGGCGCATAATATCCATTCAGGACGAGAGACTATTAATATTTCGAGAAATTTGGTCCAGAGCGCCAGAGGTCTGTGGTAGGTAACTGCCCACCAGGAGAGATAAACTCATTACTTTTCATGTTCAAATTATTAGCTAAAGGGCAAGAGGTGCCAAGCGGTAGAGTTTTATCTTCGCTGGAGCCCATCCATCCCTCATCCTCCTCGCAAGATGATAAATACGTAAATGTAAGGATTTAGAATAAAGCACATTGCAAACACTTCCTTAAACACAACAAACTCACAATAAAATCACAGGCTGAGGATGAGTTGGTTTCCTAAAACAATGGCAATTTAATTAATATTCCTATTTTTCTACACTTTCAACATTTCTTTGTTATTGTGCCTGCCACATTTCCAGAAAGCGAATGCAAAACAATGATCATTTTTTAATATGCAAGATTTCGTATAATCATTTATCAAAGTGTAAAACATACAAAATATTATTTTACTCGTAGAGATCAACTAATTTGCATACACTCATTACTTTCAATATGAGCAGTTGAACGTGCAAGGAATCGTTTTATTTAAATGAAGCCTGAATCGTGACTTATGCTGATGATCCCATCGCCCTGTGGTCTCGGCCATTCAATTTTTAAATGAAATCAAAATCCATATCTCAAAAACTGCATCGTATCCTCCGCCCGAATAGGTTTCCTCGATACGTCTCCATTTACGACGAGCTCGGGTCGAGAAGCAAACGGTTCAAGCGAAGCCATATGCAGGAATTTGTTCACATATTAATCAAATTTTAATACATTTTTGAAGATGAGCAAAGTAAGATTGCATGACTAATATGGAATCCGTGATAATACGGTTAGAATCGAGCATAATGTATGAAGGATGACGATGTATGGTCCAGCCAGCTCTCCATAATAAACGTGATAGTCTGCCAAATTAGCACCTTTTCTCCATATTTCACCCACTCGTCCACAATAAACGAAATTAGTAGAATGTATTTGTTGTAAATTGAGACATTAAAGTCTCAAGGAGCATAAATCAAACTATTCTCATTTGTTACAAGACTTGTAGGCTTATTTACAATAGATTCGAACCTCCATCCGCGAATCCAGCTATGCAACGCAGTTACTTGAACTTAAATTTGTTAATTTAATCTCCAAGTTTGGTTGATATTATGTGAAGGGATAATCCGAAGCGTGAAATTGTGAACTGCACGAAACGTACATAAGCAGCTCCGCCTCATAAATTCTCTCAGCTTTGTCAAGTATATTCAGTAATAAGTACATAAGTCCACTCACCGTTCTTCCAACCCTGTTATTGTGGAGATTGATTCTTGATGGCAAGTCCGTCGATCGTTCCCTTGCGTCCAGGAAGAGTTTGGCGAACTTGACGCCGTAATCCATGTTGTGAGAACAGCCAGACCATTTCCAGGAGGAGATGCTGTTCCTGCCTCCACCTCCTCCTCCCATCCAGCGCTTCAAACTTGACTCGTTGCTAAAATCACGAACCATCGATTCAGTCAATACCAAAAAAATGAGTTCATATCACATGATTATCTCAAATGCCTCAGTAATTGAGACGTTTGACCACATCATCATCGGATCATGTGGATTTCAGTAGTGCAAGTGATCTCTACTCGTCAGATTGTACAACACATGAGCAGAAGAGATGTTTGATTATTGGTGTTGAGCAAACTGACCTTTCGTCAAACGCGTAGTCGGCGTCCTTTGAGGGGATGAAATTGACTTGGTCATCATACTGGAAGCCACAACCACAACTGAGCAAATTGCCCTGACTGCACGCCTTGGCCACAGAATATGCCACGCCGGCTGCGGAAATGGCATGACCAAATGAGACCTCCCGATAACCTGAAATCCACCAAACAAATTCTCACGTTAAGTAAAGAAGCTGCACAACAAAGCATTTATTTTATTGCTGTCCATTAGGAGTACAATAAATGTGCAAATAATTTGCGGGTCATCAATGGTTCAAGTGGAAAACAAGCGTGACCCGTCTTCAATCAGTCATTATTGACTGGTTTATGCAAATGTGCCAAAGTTTGGTGAGAAGCACTCTTGATGCCATTATGACCGGTTCACTGCAAGCGACAATTTCAGCATTCAGTGACCTATCGGAACAAACGAGAGTGGGTGCAGAAGCAACTCATTTTCATTGCATCGATACAACACAAAATAATCACTGGTTTTTGATCAGGATTAGATTTTTACTTATCTAAATACTTCTTATGATTTCGAGTTTAATACGTCGGGAGCAGAATGCATGGAGTAACACTCACATAAGTGAAATACATATGCACACATCTCAATATGGTCAGTATAATTCTGCCGTGTATGTAATCAGTTAATTTCGTGTCGGCTTTTCCGCTTATTAAATCGTTGATGTTGATTTCATCGTTGGAGGTGGCATGATTTGGTAATTAGGGTTTATGAAGTTCTAAATTAAAAGTACCCCACAGCCCTGTGGCCAGCCCTACCTCGTTCAGCCTTCCCTCATGAAATTTCGAGTACTCACCCAGACTGTAAAACTCCCCATTTCGACCATCATCACTCCATCACCAGTTTCCTCAGACTGCAGTATAAACGTTCGTTTAGTGAAATTGCGGAGGCAGCAGACGCACCAAAATTCCTCAATAATCAGAAAGAAACAATTTCCTTTTCTCCCAGAGTAGTTTTCTTAAAAAAGTTTACAGACAATTTGTGGTAAATAATAAGAGGAGATTGCCTAATTTGGAAAATTTGTTAAAAGGGATGCTCCCCTTGTCGGAGAGGAGCACCACACGTTCGTGGCGTAATTCAGAGAGTACATGCCGTCCTTTGAGGGATGCTGATTGTTATTAAATGAGATGTGAACCAAAAACTTGTGAGCTCTTTGATTGAAGTGCCGCAGAGCCCAGCCCACACCGTCGATCTTCGTATTCTTCCATGTAAAATATGCCAGCAGCGAATTAAACGAAGAAAAGCATCACTTCATTTCGCGACACTTGTTTTTCTTCCATGTTCCTCCACGCACCAGTAATTCCGCAGATTCGCTTCAGAACTTTCATCAGGAGCAACAAGCAAATGTATAAATCGGCCAGCTCATCGTGTCGACTCTCCTCTCAATTATTTGTGCATTTTTACAGAGACACTTCTTGATTACCTCGTGAATGGTAGTAACGGCGTGAGCAGAGACAATAAAACATGCCAAGTTTGTATAAACATCGCCTCACATAAATTTACCCAATGGCAATAAAAATCTTTAAACAAGTTTCAACAACTCAATCCTCGGCACAAAACCTTTTCTACCAGCGCCACAATAACCTAGAAAACAAACATTGTTGTGAAATAACTGCTGCTAATTGCCGAGAATTTGTTGTGAACTGATTAAGCCATCATTTTCATTAGTGGAGGAGCAAGAGGCCTAATTATTTGGCAATTTAACCGGCTTCCACCCTTACAACACGTATTAACCAACCCTTCATCTGGCAATAAGGGAACGGATGATGATTGTTTAACAGCCCCGTTGCTGCTGGCCTTTGATACATGCATACGCAAGAAGGGAGAGAGAAAACTGAGACCCAAATTTTCTATAATAATGCTACACAAAGAAAACCAATATCAGTTTCATTTCGGAGACCGGGAATATTCATTCGAACCTTAATTGATCCAACATGAATAAAAAATAATCATTTCCCGAAATTCTATTGAATCCAAAAGAAGCCGAGAGTGGCACAAGATGACTTTTAATTTAAAAATTATGCTCCCATTCAGAGGACACACAATGATTCGGCATACAATTTGTGACTATTCCCAACCGAGGGACTAGTGCAACTACTCCCGGCAGCATTATTGACAACTCCATCCAATCCAGAGATATTAATATTGAATGAGTTTCTGTGTGGCTTCATCCATCAAATTGGTTCAAGACTTCAAAGCCACGGAAAAAAGCCTTTCGTTCTACCTCCGACGTTTCCTGTCCAAAAAACACTTCTTCCTACTTCCGATTGTCACTAAAATCTCTCCTCCCTCCTTCCATTCTTCCCCCAAAATCTGCATACCTCTACAAACACTACTGGCTCGTAAACATAGTAAACAAGCAGTATTTCAATGAAACGAATTGCGAGATTTTGATGGGTATCGATCATTTTCTGTTCAATTTGAACGAAAATTATACATGTCAGTTTTGGGGCGAAGTGGAACGTTTTTGTCAAAATTTCCTTCTCTTGACGACGTATGTATAATAATAGAATTTCTACGTATGTTAAGGTGATGCCATGACGTATGTTCGTATGAATAAGTAAGACGTTCAGATGACAATTGCAGAATGGGAACAGCAGGCACGTGAATTTACAAAAGAGCTGATGACAGAAAAGCAAGTCCGAGTCAGCAGCATCAAGGAATCATTTGACAAAGAGATGCAAGGCCACCTTTCGAGTAAGTAACCCCCATTTTCACACCTCACCAGCAGCAGCAGCTTGTTCCACAATGCGACAACTATTTATTCTCGTCGTCGTATATATTACATGGCCGGATTTCTGAGCTGACGGGTGGGAGTTGGTTGTAATTGGGAATGTAAAGTCAAGGTGTAAATCATCATCTCGGGCAACAATCAACAAGGTGACCTGGGCCAAAAGCTGAGTTGTGTGAACGCTGTGCAAATGATTAACAGCTTTTCTTACATGTTGCTCTCAGCGAGAAAGAAAAATGAGCTACAATCCTTCAATTCGCTCCGCTCTGGTGGGTCAAACCAAAAACCGAAGGGTCCGGGACCACCTTTGATCATTTCACCTAAACCTCCACCATGCTCTCCTCGGCCGTTAATGCATAATTATTCTTGTAATAATAATCACAATAACTGCTCCACACATGAGCAAAACACTGCTTCTGAAATCCAGACTTCCCCCAAGACAAAAGTGCACGGCAAAATAATTTCCTTTGCAACTTGAGCATCAACTTTACGGACAGCAATAAACATAAAAATGCTAAAGAACAAAAGAATAAAATCTTAAAAATCTCACATTGCCTGGCATTGCACATAATATGTATGTACGTTCGTTCGTAATACGATGATTGTGTGACTGCTGCTGTTTGGTCGGGTTTTTTGCTGATTATTGTGAGACAGAGATTTGAAGATGAGAAAAGTCAGGATTTTATCGACGGCAACTTTATACATGCTTTTGCTGCGAGTAAGGTTCACTAAAAGCAGTGATAGCGGTTAAGCGGTGGCCGTATGGAGAGAGAGACGAGTAAGATTTTTATTCCTCGAGAGATTACTTTGGGACATGAAACGGCGTGGAATTCTTTCTCGCGAGGCAAGAAGACCAGGATCAGGAACTGGTTGGTTACTCTTCTTGGTTGATCAAATATTAAAGTTAAACTGTGATATGCAAATAATATGTAAATATTTTACATGTATCACATCAACTCTGTCCAGCAGCAGGGATTCAAAGACTCTTCACCACGAGAGGAGCATTTACTTAAGCAGGATTAGTAATAATAATGTTACTGCACGCATGACATATTCACTCGCAATTAACTTGGAATAATTTTTTTTCTGGCAAGAATTTTATGCTCATAAGTTTCTCGTAATAATTGAGTGATTTATGACAATTGACGTATTGATTCTACGGGTCAGTTTGTCCAGATTTTGAGATAATTGACTCTCTTCTCGGGGTCTCTTTCCGCCGTTTTGCGGTTTCCTTTACAGGGGGCGAGAGTCAGTAGGTAGCAGTTGCACGATTGCTGCCTGGGACAACAACCACCAAAAAGTTGGGGAAATGTATGTCTCGTTCAATATTGGTCGCTGCTCTGGTTGCATATCGTTAACAATAATAAACAGCAGGTTATCCATGTTCATTTAACACCCTTTGTAACTGTCGTGTCGAACAATGCCAAAATAAATTCCAAATTAGCCACGGTTGCACAAACCAATTTGGACCCTCGTGAATTGGTATTTACAGCCGACCGTAAGAGCCACGTACAAATGTATATGCAACGCGGATGGGAACGAAATTCGTTAATTTATTACGTATCATTGTCCTTCCTAACACACCGCAGCAGCAGCAGCCGTGATTTTGGATTACGAAATGCGCCATGTCAGAGCCAGATTTAGAGACTAATTTGATGTCTTTATTTCATGTTTTACTTATGAAAGCATCATGTTGAATTAGCTGTTTTCCTTTGTGCCCACTCTGCCATCAGCCAAATTACGCATTTCGTTTCCTCCACCAGCACTGCAAATATTGCTCCATCCACACTGCACGGGGACACACAGCCGTCAGCAATAATTGCTCACTTTGACAATTTTAATGCTAATCAACTCGAATCAAGAGTTGGATCAAAATGCGAACCAGCTAATAAACAATCTCTCCCAGAGGACTCGTGCTTTTCGAGTCTCCTCAACTAATATTTCAGCCTTGTTTTGCATTTTGAAGCCAGGCTTCTGATTACAGAAACAGGGAGACCGAGATCAAAGAGAAATTCTAAGCTGGTACACACGACCATGTCAACATCCACCCTTTTCATCATCCAATCAATCTCGAAAGGATAAAAGTGTATGCATGCTTTTTACTCTCACAATGCTCGAGTTCAGTTAAATAATGAGACCGAAAATCCAGTCGAATAAGCAAATTGAAACTTCACTCGCAATTTTTGATGGTAAATGTGCACATTTAAAAGCATCAACCTTTTGCATCTTGAATAACTTCTTCTTGTTACCTTTCTTGAAGAGGACGGTGCTATGGGGGTTGAGTCTTCCTTGCAGAGATGAGCAATTCCACCTGTTTTTAGCACGTTATTAAGTAAATATTAGTCTCATTAATTCATAAAGGCTTGACTAATAAGTTGCTATTAATAACCCTTAAACTACCTGTTTTTCGACATTTGGAAAGCACACTCGTCCACTGCTAGTGACAATCCTTGCAGTGCGACTTTGGTTGCGTCAGGGTTTTTGAAACAAAGTTCCATCTGTTCCCTTGTCAGTCCAGGAATTGTTCTGCAAACTGCTGCAGCCTCGTCCCAAACGGAACGGTCTGGGTCCAGTCTCAGAATGCTGTTGACACTGGCGGATCGAGAGGGGTACGTCTTTTTTCTCTGCTTCTTACTGTTCCCACTATGCACACTCGGGGGGAATACGTTCCTCCTCCCGTTATCCCCACCACCACCACCGTTCGACTGTTGGGAGGGGGTTGGGAGAAACTGGTTCTGAACACCAGCATCCAGCAGTTTGTTGCTCATGGTGTTATCGAGGTGGGCCGCGATTGCTGGGAAGGACGACGGGGGGAAGGAGGACAGTTTCGACTCAATCGTCGAAGTCCCCCTTCGCACCATGGGGTAACCAATTGGGGACTCATTTTCTGATCGGAGGAAAAAGTTGGGCTGCAGGTCATGACCCGGCGCCTTTCGAGAGTTGAAAGTGTACTGTGGCTGCGGGTTGTAGTAGAGCCGATCTCTTAGCGCATTTCGGCCACTGTTCATGGGAACAATCACGTGCCCCCCACCACCACCACCACTGTTGTTGGGGTTGAAGTTTTCAGACTGTTGTTGACTGCAAAAATTGAAATATTTTTCCATCAACTCAGGAAACATGAGATTTTTCAGGAGTTTTTAAGAATGTATAATAGAACAACATAGTGGAAATTAATCCTCACAGATTTATGTTTGGTGAAATACATATCCCAGAGTTTATTACTTTGCGTGAGTTCTCTAGAAAATTCTTGCAATTTGGTCACAACTAACCAGCTTATCATCAGGCATGCATCATCACCCTTCTCCAATCGGTGTGCATCATCTGCGGAGATTACGTATGTACGAACATGTGAAGTTACAAGGATGAGATTTTCACCACCAAGTGCCTAAGTTGCCCTTGTTTGAGTTTGAGCTTAGGCAATATTTTGTAGCATTTTCTTTTGCACGTGAATGGAAACCATATTTCACTCAATGCAAAGCCAACAATGAGGATGAATGAGGAAAAAGTGTCCCCGCTGAGTTTATGAGTTTCGGAGGACTACTTATGGTCGATTACGGTCACCTTTTTAGGATTATTACGTTGTTAAGTGAATGAGTAATGGAACTCTGGTTTTAATAAGAATACATAATCATGCACTCAATGCTCTCATATTTGCAATAATGGAGTGGCTCGACACCGACAAAATTTGGTGACAAAATGTCTGATTTGTTGTAACGTGCATTTGTCTGGCACACAAAGTCTGACAACGTTTTTATCTTTTGTGTTTGTTAATATTTTGTCGAATGCACTCATTTGTTTACATGCAACCTATTTAAAAACTCTGTTCTCCTCATCTTGACGGGTGAGCAAGCAGTCTACTGCTTCAGGTGGATGTCGAAAGTATGCACGAGCACCAGTCCCTTATTCGTGCTCATCAAAAGAAAAAGCAAATATTGACTCGGCTCAACAAATTTTTTCCGTCTTTCTTCGTGTAACACGTGGAGTGGGAACTGATCTCACGATGCACTTAAAATACTTTGAAGAATTTGTCGTCGTTGTCGATTTCTGGTGACATTTAAACAAAACACGATGATGAGCGAGAGATGACGACAAAGTAGTAGTTCAAATACCACGTAAGACTCTTATTAGTTATGACACATGACTTTGCAAAATGGTGCTGCGAAAAATCAACAGGAAATCCTGAAATGATCCTCCAAAGCAAACATGACCAAATCATCCTCAATTGTTTTATGGCAGAAAGATATGTACGACGTGTACTCGTGGAAGAAGACGGTTTACGAGATGCGAGTCATATTAAAAGTACAAGTTTATCTGTATTGCTCAAATTCAATATTTACACTCCAGTTCTTCTCATAGTTTCAAAATGGGCAAAAAATTGAGACGCTCTTGTGTGCGTACCTTCGTCTGGCGAGGCCCATGGTTATCCATAGGGCGAGGATTACGAAGAGATGATGAGTCCACTTGAGATGATTCCTTCCCAACGGCAGTCTTGATTTTCTCATATTTTCTCCTTCCTTCCTCGGTCAGAAGAACCCACACTTTCCCTGAAATTCCACCTCTAATTCTTGACCAGATATCGACTTTCTCTCACCCTCGCAGTCCACGTTCATAATGCCAGCCGATTTCTATCAGCTCTCGTCTCAACGTGCACACACCACAGCTTTCATCTAAAATCTAATGTAATCTTAAATAGTCCACTCTCCTCGACCAGCAACAATGCAGACTTACATCCTGGATTGTTCAGGATAAGAAATGAATCACTATTTGCTCTCAAGATTCACTCAACACTGCCGGGGCAACGTGACATTTGAACTATTTCCGACTTTTCCGAGCACTTGTAGCTGTGGAACGCTATGAAAAAGGCTGTATGTTCCCGTTGTCTTTCCAAATGTCTTTTCGATACTTGGCGTTCATCAAGTGGTTTGGCACATAGAGCGAGACTTTGGGCACACACTGATTGTTGGATTGAGTGACAAAGGCCGTGTGAGATTTCGGTGATATAAAGTGAGATGGGGATGAGCAGTTGTGCTACAATGTGGCGGAGATGACGATATGTTGAGAGAAGTGAAAATAGATTAGGACGAGCGACGAGGTATAAGCAGGGAAGGATCCGTACCGCAAAAGACGAGGGGGCCGGCCCTAAATTTGCTCGGAGGTGGAGTCTCTCGCGTTCAATTGAATCTCAAATCTCAGCAGTTCTCATTACATTGCATCGCATGAGGATGAAGGTATTTGGATGTGATCTGCTCCTCGTGCAGGTGGGTCCTCACCTCCATCGACGCTATGCACGCTGAGGTGGAGGCAACTCTTCTCATCATTATCGCAATTCTCAAGGAGCAGCTATTAGCAGTGATTGCTGTATTTACGCCAACGCTGGGGAAAAGTATCTCACGGGCCCATTACAAAATAACTTCTTATGCAAATAGCTATTTTGTAATTTGCCGTGTAGAAAACGAAGGCAGTACTTTATATTTCATCTCTGATAATCGCTGTTGAATAAAACTTGTGCAAATCAGGAAACAATGAAATACTTGCTTATTCGCAGTATTGTTTGCATAACCAAGTTTATAATCCTAATGATGACCAGAGTGGTTTGCACACGTTGTTCAGTTCTGGCTAATACTGAGCTGCATGACCAACCCGAGGCTTTTCTTGACGAATTTATGACCAGTTTCCTTCAACAACGTTAGGAAACAAACAACAGAAGCAAAAAGTAATGAGGAGTAGTCATCGTCGTCGTCGATGTGTTAGTCAATTCGCGCAGTGGGGATCAATCAACTCTTCATCTTCTGCTTAAATACGCATGCACACTTCATCAACAACTGTTCAGAAGACGTGGGTCCATTGTTCACAAACCGTTAGACATATTTACGTACATAGTTGGAGTTGATCATGCTCTTCAAACCAACTCGGGGCAATCTGAGTATTCTCAACTTTCATTCTAAAGAAACCCAAGATTCGCTACTAGACTGAACTACTGCTGAATTTTGCATGGAACCTCCTCTGCTTCACAGTAGTTGATGACCATGCATTCATGATCATCAATATGGTGCGTTATCGGAGAAGTCGTCGTGTTTCGGTGGCTCTTGCAAGACCCGAGATACCCAGCGTGATGGGCTTAAAACTTGTCCCGTAATCAGCAATGGGCAATAAACGTTAGATTATTGTTTATTCAAAACCTGTTTCTTATTGAGTCAATACTGTGATTCTCTTATCGTCAACACTTACCTCGACTCACGAGAAGTTATAAAATGTGGATACGTTCAAGAGAAACAAAGAATGCCAGATCAGATCGGGGACGGTTGAAAGTCAAAATTGAATTGAATTTGCTTGAATATTTTCCACGTCTACGTTCTAATTGCGCTGTTGATTAGTGCATTATTTTGAAGTCTGTGTTTGAATTTCATTCGTCAGGACTGATGATAAATTGAAGCTCCGGTTTTCGAGTTTGTATAAAATTTCTGTTTCATTTCTATGCGAGAAATGTGGGACAAGAAACAATATGAAGCATGAAAACCATTTTTTTATCCTTTATGACCAACTTCCTTTGTTTCCATTCTCTTTTGTAAAGTCTCATTTTTTTTATTGCACCGTTGATCTCACAAAAAGTCTTTGAAGAGTTGGCACATTTTTTCTCGTACAATTATTGTTCCTCCTTTTTCAGAAAAGTTTCAAGAAAATTATGAACTTTCCTCGTGCGTGTGAAAGGGTCCAGCTAATGAAAAAGGGTTCTAGCATTACTCCCGAAGACCGTTTAGTTGATTACACGTCTTTTCATTTCCAGAGTGAATAGGCCGTCTATAAATTGTTAATGGGAGGGGGAGGCGATGTCTTGGTCGGTGGTAAGTAGCACTCAATCCTCTCCCCGAATTAAACTCTTGATTTCCTCAAAAAACGCACCTATTTACTTTGCTGCGCTTGATTGTTCCTTCATCTTGAGTATATATGAACATCTCAGTCAGCGCATGTATTTATTCCTCCGAACTCCATCATGTGCTTAATGAATCCCGAGATATAGAGCGTATTTTAAGCATTTACAGAGTTGTAAGATGCACCAATTGTGACCGGTTTGTGCGATATGGTCCGAGTAAAGCTTCTCATAATGAGTCGCTGACAAGTGGGTGGAGCTGAATGCATTTAATGCACTAATTGCAACCAATCTTCATGGTTTGATTTGGTCGTAATTAGTGCTTCACCACCGCCCCCACTACTAATTGTCGAGGTAGGAATTTTGAGTGCTTTATGCACCTAAAATTTCGACATATTTTTTGCCCTAGTCAGAGCTTATGGAACCATCATGCCCATCTGTCCATTAGGTTTCGCCAGAACTCTCGTCAAACTTGTCCTATCGACTTGAATTGTACACATGTCGTATGGGCCAGCAGAATATTTAGAATGGTCGTACAAGATTAATATTCGGGACATTGGACATATTTGTTTTTGAAAATACAATGTTACAACGACCAAATTATGATTAAGAAGGCTCCAGTAGGGCCACCCCCACTGGTTTTAGAAAATTGTATTAGAAGACTGAAATTTGGCATTATTCTATAGTTGATATTGGCAGATGTGAAGTAACTTTTAAAATTTTTTGCCATGAGGACCCAACAGGGTGGCTGTTTTTTTTGAAATTGGTAAAAGAAAGATGAAAATTGGCCGAAAAAGCTAAAATTTTACATGCTGGATTATAAGTATTCACATTTTTGACGATTACGAATAGCTACTACCTGTAAATGACTGTAAATAGTAGTTGGATCATCCACCAAAAATTTAGAAGCGGACTCTGACTCGGGCTAGATCAACAATGCTCTGTAGGTTTTACGTCTTATTACTCCGCCGTGTGTGCATTCAATACTTTCCTTCCCCACATGAATCCCTTGTCGCCAGATCAATCCACATTTTTATCAACTCGTTCCATCTCCCTTCGTATGAATTCATTTGTCTCACTTTTAGACAAACCTCATCATCTTCCACCAACCAACGTTGACGAGTTATTTCGAAAGAATGCACCGCGGCGGAAAATGGATTCGTTTATAAAGGGTACGCATTAAAATAAATTTTCTCTCGACCTATGGCGTGCCTTACTGCATCACTTCCAGACAAAAATTCGTCCTTGTCACTTGGCCTTGTCACTTGTCACGAGTTCCAACTGTTTAGTTCTCAGAGAAGCTGGTAAACTCAAAAGAAGAGTCATGATTTAATCGAGGAATCAATCATACACAACCCGAGAATGTGGGTAACATAAAATATGCAGTGGTGCATTAAAAAAGTCGTATGGGATTTGGACGAGAAATTCCAGAAATATTTCCGTCCGGTTGTGCTCCTCTTGAGCTTCCTCTTGGGAAATGAGACGAAATAAATACGTATTTATGTATGTTGTACTTCATCTGTTTACTTTTACTCGCATTTACTTGGACAAGAAAAAGAGTTAAAAGATTGATAACCAAGTTGAAAATGTTAAACTTTCAAATATTTTTGTGGGGAAGAGAGAGATGTCAAAAATGTGACGTGGTGGAGACAATACGCTTTTTATTTCCCAATGCAGCACAATCAGGAGGAAAAATGAGTACAAAAGGGTTAAAAAATGTCGTCATTGTCTGTGATTGGGTTCAGAGTTGAATCGGAGTTGGAATTTGTTTTCAATTTAAAAGTCACCTGTGGCTTCGCTTTGGTTGATTTTGATCTCATCTCGATCAGAGTCTCACAACACGACCATTGCTACCGTTCCTGGTTCTCATGTCACAGAAAGTCACGACCTGCCATGATCCATCAAATTGTCAACCCCATTTGTCCAACGCCGCAGGAATGACTCTGACGTCGTCTCTTGTAAATGCTTTATACGAGACGAAGCCAACACAAAATTTTAAGGAACCAGCATCTAAATACTCATTACAATTGCACATCCATAAATATTTACGTACGTACAAGCCAGCTCCATCGTGGAGATTAGTTTGTTGGAGAGCCATTTCATAAAATTACGTACGAGGTAGTAACGCTTTGGGAATTGGATCCAGGTCGTATGGAAAGCTGCTTAACGCTTGGATGAACAAAGACATGGTTCACTTGAAACGAGGAGATGCTTTTGGGTGGAGGATTGGTGAAAGCGATTTTAGATGGCAGCTCAGCTCTTTCACAGCAATGACGCCTTCCTGTTGGCCTTCCACGTTTGTCGTTGCGTTGTTAACTCTGCCAGTTGAGAGAAGCTCGCATTGTGCCATCCAGGAAATAGATAACTTGATAAGGTTGCATTTATTGCTTGTGTGTAATATTAAATTCTTCGTGGGTGCGGCCGTCATGCAAATTTGTTCCAAGTCAATGTATCCATTTCCATAATACGTATGTAGACAGATACTCGAAATATGAGGACTGAGAGATATGGTGTCGTTGGATAGTTCCAGCAAGTGGTGACGACCATTTTGCGGCTAATGGAAACAAGGGAGTAGTTTGTCTTCTTTGTCATCACGTCATGTCATGTCACTGGGCATTCTCAACATCCGTGAGAAATCTGAAACGGTCATCTCCAACCAAACACAAGTACAAATTAAGTCTATCAGTCATCTTGTCTTAAGTGATATCCAGTGTGATGACTCTCGAGTTATTTGTGTGTCCTCGGCTTAACCTTTTTTATTCATTTCTCACTAATCATCCATCCAGCAGCCATGCAACAAGTGGAAATACTGCGTCTCACCTGTACACATCTACTCACTCGTCCCCCTCAATTTTTTACGGAATGGTCAACTATGCAAACGACGACGACGACGACGCGGTTTGGCCTTTGTCTTATTAATTGTCTACTTTGACGTTGAAAAACAAATGCGTTCTGTTTTAAGTTTTTTTGAGACATTTTCTCCAATATTTTTTATTCACATTTATCCACCAAAGAAGCCAACTTGTGGTGACTATGCATTTAAGTGGTACTTACGAAGACGAAATTAGTCTCTCATACATTACATTCTGTATCAGTAGTTAGTGATGCTGGATGGCTCAAAGAGTTGTTCTCTCTCTCTCTCTCTTCTCATGTTTACAATAATCGTTGTTTGTAAAGTGATTTTCATTTCATTTGTTTAG